GGCTGCCACACTGCCTCTTGCCAAACTCCACAGAAAACTGCTTTGCTATGAGAGAGAGAAATAAGCTATGGAGATGCTCTGTATCATATGCAGTGATGCTGGGTGTTAAACTAGAGTGAGGAGAAAGAACCTGATGCCTGACAGACCTGCGATGAGTACCCAGGGGTATAAGGAGAGGGTACTACAAGGAGACCCTTCCCCATCTGGGTAACAGAAGTCTGGCAGAGATGTGATGAACACATAGGAAGTTGCTCAGCTGAGCAGATCAGGGGAGCCAGGGTGCTGGAGGCGGAGAAGTCAGGGTGTGAGACAGCACTGAGTGCAGGGTGAGTGCAGCCTGTCTGAGAGACTGAAAGAAACTCAGCGTGTCTGGTGATAAGGGAGTCAGACACAGCAGGGCAGGATGTGGCTAGACACAACCAGAGGAAATACAGTGATAAGCGATCTGATACAACTTCAATTCAACCAGCGGAGGGTTTCAGCTAGGAAGTTAACTCATCAGATTTATGTTTTCTAAATTCACCTGTAGGAAGGAAGAGGTCATAGCCAGCAGAGAGAGCCCCCTGGAGGCCCAATAGCTGCTGTGGAGGGGAAAGCCAATGGAGCTGAGATTAGGGACAGGGTACCGTGCAGGGACATGGAAACACGTAAGGACAGGTGAGAACATGTGGGCTGAAATCAGCAGGGATCTGGGATGGAGGGACATGAGGAGGGACATAAACAATAGTTTATGTATTTATTTTTAGACAGAGGGGAAGGGAAGGAGAAAGAAGGAAAGAAACATCAATGTGTGGTTGCCTCTCATGCTCCCCCTAGTGGGCACTTGGCCTGCAACCCAGGCATGTGCCCTGACTGGGAATTGAACCAGCGACCCTTTGGTTCGCAGGCTGGTGCTCAATCCACTGAGCCACACCAGCCAGGGCAGAATTCTTATTGCACTCACAAGGTACTCTCACAGCGAGTGCAGAGAAGACAACATGTGACCAAGCCAAGTTCTGGCTGCTTCCACTTTTGCTTCCTGTCTGTTTGCCCCAGTGTTAAGTAGAAAAGAATTTGTCTGCCCCATATAACAGCATTCTGTGGTCAAGCTGACCCTCACCCACGTGTTGAGCTTCCTTGTGTCCTACAGAATTCTGGCTCCTTCTCTGGGTGTCCCCAGTACCTCTGGACTTGTGTCTAGACACCTTCCCTAATTCGCCCATCTGGACCTATCCCCAGGAGGGGTGGGGTTGGGGGGCGGGGCAAAAACCTGCGCCTGCTGTCCATGGTGCTGATCGTTAGTTTTCTGCGCGAGTGTGCTTTCAGCACCATGGTCAGAGTCTGCGGGGCCATTTTCATTAGCTGAGCCCCCTGTACATAGTCCTCATGAGGGAGTCAAATAAAAGATATTCAGTCAGAGCAGGAGGGTAAATTAGAAAAATGCTAGGAGTCCTGGGTGGTGTGGCTCAGTGGACTGAGCATGGGCCTGCGAACAAAAGGGTCGCTGGTTCAGTTCCCAGTCTAGGGCACATGTCTGGGTTGTGGACCAGGTCCCCAGTAGGGGGCCCTCAAGAGACAACCACACATTGATGTTTCTCTCCTTCTTTTTCCTTCCCTTTCCTGCTCCCTCAAGATAAACAAATAAAATCTAAAAAAAAAAAAAAACCAACTTCCTGAAATTCTTCTTTAAAAAATAAAAAAAGAAAATGAAAATATCAGGAGACGGCAGTAACTAACATTAGTCCAGACTCCCCTCACACTCCATGAATCCTGAATAAGGATAGCAGTTTGGGACATGGGCCTCACACTTAGAATTGCAAACTCTGGGACATTCTAGGCTGCCCCATAGTGTTAGTTCTCCCCTGTTGAGATCAAAATGTGTCTTCCTGGACCAAGTTTAGGTGGCCGGCTACTGGGTATGACTAAGATATAGACCAAAGTCACACCAAACTGCTTTCAAACCTACATCTGCCTCTTGCTAGCTTTCTGTCCTTGGGAACATCATTTCATTTTTTGGAGGCTCACTTTATTTTTCTGTAAAATGGCAATAATAGTGGTATCTGCTTGTGAATGTATGTTTGGAGGTTTGATGATCAGAGATTATTATATTCTGGCTCTCAGAGGATCTGGAGCCAGGCCTCCTGGGTCTCATTGTAATGCAACCTCTTGTTGACTCTGTGACTTAGTGAAAGCCTCTGGAGGCATATGGGTGTCATCTAGAATGAAAATCCTGGTAGGACTTCCTTTGTAGGGATTTCGTGAGAATCCAAATAGTTTACACATAAGATGTGTGAAGTAAAGCACCTGAATTCAGTTAGCACTCATTCAAGACTGTGAGATGTTGTTACTATTATGACCACTGTCACCATTATTATTTCATACTATTATATGATTATCATTCAAGTTATCATTCATATTATTAATATTATTATATGATTATTATTCATATAATCATATTATTAATGATTATTATTTCAATCATTAAGTGCCTAGACATGGCCTGATAAACTGTATGCAGTCACGATCTCTGCTTGTATGAATTATGGTGAGGGTCACTGTGGAGAAACTCACTTGAAGCCACATGGGTGAGAGTTGATGGGGCTGGGACTCAAAGCCAAGCCTGTGTGACACCAATGCATGAGTTCTTGTCATAATCCCACCCGCCCACGGTCAGTGTCAAGGAAGGAAGAACAAAGGCAGGGACTCCACTACTCCCAGATGGAAGACCAAGGCTTATAGTACTTCGGCCATGAGTTTGCAGCAGTTATTTCTTGGAGTTCCTTATTTCCTCAGCTTTTCTCAGTGTACCAAGACACCTGTTTCCTTCACAGAGCCTGCAACAGGCTCCAGGGAACTTTTCCTTGTAGGGTTGGCAGACAGAGAAGGAGGGAACTGCAAATGGTGTGAGCTGCAGGGAAACAAGGTCACAGGCAGACGAGTCAGCTGGAAGGAAGGAGATGAGACTCATCACAGGGAGCTCCAGAGATAGAACTCAGCTGAAGCTGAGTCCACTCGCTAGTGTGACAGCTTCTCCTGGGGCTCCCTCTGTTGGCACAGTCCCTACTTTCTCTCTTTAGCTTTCCTCTCTCTGTGTGTGTTTATCTCCTCTTCTTTTCTTTACTCTTCACTTCTCTCTCTCTCTCCCTCCCTCTCTCTCTCTCCCCCTTCCCTCCCTCTCCCTAGCCTTCTCTTCTCTTCTCTTCTCTTCTCTTCTCTTCTCTTCTCTTCTCTTCTCTTCTCTTCTCCCGTTCCCCTTCCCCTCCTCCTCCTCCCCCCTCCTTCTCCTCCTTCTTCTCCCCCTCCTCCTCTCTTTCTCTCTCTCTGTCCCCTTCCCCATATTTCTGCATCTTTAACTCTGTCCCTGTTTCTTGTTTCTGAGCCTCCTTCTGTATGGGTACGTCTCCATTCCTCTGTCTGATGCTCGGTCTCTCTGTATTTCCTGGCCTCTTGCCCTCTGACTTTCTGCCCCTCTCACTATCAGGGGTCTGGGGCTCTCTGTCCTCAGAGCCTCTCACTGTTCTCTCTGTTTTTGTGTTTGGGTGTTGGTGCTCTGATGCCACCCTGTCTCAACATTACACTGTCTACTGCCTCCCACCCCATGCTGTGTGTGTCTTTTCTTTCAGTCTCTTCCTCCCTGTGTTTGGGTTGTGCGGGTGTGTAATTGTGTCTCCATCTTTCTTGAGCTTCTGCTCTTCTCTCTGAGTGTAGACATCTGTGTGTGTGTGTGTGTGTGTGTGTGTGTGTGTGTGTCTATGTCTTCTGCCTACATCGTTCCCTCTCTGTGTCTCTCCTTCCCCCCTCTGAACCTAGATGGGCTCTTTCAAAGTCTTTTTGTGTGTTGGAAATTTTTCCCGATTGCAACACTCCAATGCTGGGTCACCTCCCCAGCCCACTGGCCTTCTCCACAGGCAACCTGAGCTTCAGGAGAAATGCCCACAGCCTCACGTACTGGTCCCTGCCATGCGTATGGCCTTTGATGCTTTGTCACCTTTCGGTGAGGCCCTGCCATGCTGACTTGTTTCCTCATCTGCCCAATGGACAGAAGAATAGCACCTGCCTTACAGGCTGATGTGAGGATTAAATGAGATAATATGTTAGAGATGCTTAAAACAAGGCTTGGTATACAGCAAGTGCTCAATAGATGTGGTCCTAAAGTTCTCCTGGGCTCATATCCCCTTCCATCCAGCTGAACAAACCCACACCCACCAGCCCAGGCTGCAGTCAGTCCACTGTCCCTCCTGCCCCTTCAAGAGGCAGTCTACCTGCCCCCAACCCTATGCTGGACCCCCTCTAGTGCTCTGGACAAGGGCTGCCCAGTACCAGACCACTAATGGTTACTTCCATTTTAAGCCTCTAACATTTCATAAAATTTAAATTTCAGTTTCTCAGCCACATTTCAAATGCTTGGCAGACACATATGGTTGCTGTACTGGACAATGCAGATAACAGACTATTTCCATCCTTCCGGGAAGTTCTGTTGGACAGATTCCTTCTATCCCTGCTCCCAATGGACAGGAAATACCCCCTGTAGTGTCCTCCACCTGCCCTCTGTCAGGGGCAGCCTGCCTGAGTTCAAATCTCACCTGTATCACTTAATACCCATGTTAGCAAAGTCACCTAAAAATTAAAGTCATTAAATAAATACAATGGGAAGAAGACATGAACAGACACTTTTCCCAAAAGGACCTTAAAAATGACTGACAAATAGACTTAAAGAAAAAAGATGCTCAACTGTATTAGCTATTAGGGAAATGCAAATAGCTACTAAAGTGAGGTACCACCTCACACCTGATAGAACGGCTATTATCAACAAGACAGGTAAGAACAGTTGTGGAGAAAAAGGAACCCTCATTCGCTGCTGGTGGGAATGTAAACTGGTACAGCCACTATGGAAAGCAGTAGGGAGATTCCTCAAAAAACTAAGAATAGAGTTACCATGGAACCCACCAATCCCTCGCTGGGTATCTACCTGAAATTTTTGAAAATATTTATTCGTGCTCTTTGGAGTCCTCGCTTCCAAGATGACAAAGAAAAGAAGCAACAATGGTCGTGCCAAGAAAGGCCACGACCATGTGCAGCCTATTCGCTGCACCAACTGTGCCCGATGCGTGCCCAAGGATAAAGCCATTAAGAAGTTTGTCATTCAAAACATAGTAGAGGCTGCAGCCATCAGGGACATTTCAGAAGTGAGTGTCTTCAACGCCTATGTGCTTCCCAAGCTGTATGTGAAACTGCATTACTGTGTGAGCTGTGCCATTCACAGCAAAGTGGTCGGGAATCATTCTCAGGAAGCCCAGAAGGACCAAACACATCCACCCTGATTCAGACCTGTGGGTGCTGCCCCACGACCTGCACCAAAGCCCATGTAAGGAGACCTAAAGGACCAAAGAAAAGTTCTCTGGAAAAAAATGAAATGGAAATTGTACTTTAAAAAAAAAGAAAATATTTATTTGCAAAGATATATGCACCCCTGTGTTCATTTGCAGCATTACTCACGGTGGCCAAGATATGGAAATGGCTGAAGGGTCCTTTGATAGGGGATTGGATAAAGAGGGTGTGGTGCATATATATCATGGAATGCTCCTCAGCCCTAAGAGAAAATGAAACACTGCCTTCTGTGATGACATGGATGAGTCATGAGAATAGTATGCTAAGTGAAACAAGACAGAAAAAAGCAGAACCATATTATTTCAGTGACCTGTGGGACATAAAACAAGTGAGCCAATAGGACAGACAGACACAAACTCATAGACACAGACACTGGTAAGGTGGTTACTGAAGGGAAGGAGGGTGGGGGGGGTGCAAAAGAAAATGTGGGGTCCCTTGTTCCCCTTGTTCAGAATTATTAGTACCTTCAGGATTGTTACAGCAGATTATTCGACCAAGTACAGGAACCCCTGAGCACAGGACCCGGAATAATTGCACAGGTCCCTCCCAGGCAGTGACTTCAGCATTTCTGAAACTCTTGCTCTTCCTGCTCTCCACAATGGTGGTGGCCCCACACCACCACCACGGACCTGCCCTGTGAGGCCCACATGACAGACAGAATGCACCTCTGAGGATGTCCAGGTATGAGTCCCTGGGACCTCTGAACATGTTGCATCACCTGGCAAAGGGACTTTGCCAGTGTGATTCAAGTTACAAACCCAAAGATAAGGAAGTTACGCTGGTGTGATGGTTAATTCTGTGTGTTTACTTGGCCAGGCTACATTCCCCTGGTCGTTCAGCCAAACTCTAATCCAGGTGTTGCTGTGGAGGCATTCTGTCGATGTGGTTACACCGACAAGCAGTGGGCTCTGAGTGAAGGAGGTCACTGTTGAGAATGCATGGGCATCCTCTGATCAGCTGAAAGAAGAGCAAAACGGAGGTTTTCCTAAGGAAAAGGAAACTCTGCCTGGAGATTCAGCATTGGCTCCTGCCTGCCTGAGACTCTGTAGTGTGCTCCATGGAGCAGCTCACCGGCACCCTGCATCTCAAAACCCAATTCCTGATATAAATCATATATGTATGTGTGTGTACATTACATAGATATAGATAACTGATTACCAAGTAATACATTAATACACATCCATCAACAAATATATATGGATAGTATTATTATTACTTGGCAATCAATAAAAATTAATCTTTTATAGGTAATATATAAATATATTTTTAACTAGATAGATATCTTAATATATATGGATATATATGTGTATATATGTATGTGTCCCCCTGGCTCTGTTTCCCTGGAGAACTCTGATTGATACACCTGTGATCCAGGTGGGCCCAACCTGATCACATGAGCCCTAAAAGCAGAGCACCTTCTCTGGCTGGAGGAGCCTCTGGAGCAGACTGGCCCTAACTGATGAACAGCAAGAACCAAGGACTTCAGTCCCTCGGCTACAATAACTGAATTCAGCCAGCACCTGAATGAGCTGGGAGGAGGACAGCCCCAAGTAAAGGTGCCGACATCCTGATTTCAGCTTAGAGGGACCCGAAGGAGCCACCTCGACTCTGCCCTATAGAAACTGAGATAATAAACATGGATGGGTTGTGGTCATCTGTTATGGAAGCAAAGGAAAATGAATAGTACAGCCCAGGGCTCCTCTCTCTCTCTCTCTCTCTCTCTCTCTCTCATCTCTCTTACAACCCCCATACCTTTTGGTTCCCAAGTCCAAGTGAGCCTGCCTCCTGAATATCCCTTTCATCAGTACTTTCTTCTCCATTTCTGGGCCCTTGCCCTAAATCAGGCCCCTTTCTGGGGTTCTAGGGTGAGGCAAAAAAACAAACAAACAAGGGCCCCTGGCTGGTGGGGCTCAGTGGATTGAGTGTCAACCTGCAAACCAAAGGGTCGCTGGTTTGATTCCCAGTCAGGGTACATGACTAGGTTGCAGGCTAGGTTCCCAGTAGGGGGCACATGAGAGGCAACCACACATTGATGTTTCTCTCCCTCTCTTTCTCCCTCCCTTCCCCTCTCTCTAAAAACTAATAAATGAAAAATCTTTAAAAAAATATCAAGGGAGCAGCAAAGATTCAGTCACCATGATGCACAACATTGTAATGTAGCAAATGAGTAAATGCAACAAAAAAGAATGAATAGCACATCCATAAGGGACAAAGTATCAATACTTTAACAGGATCAAATGAAATATCAACAAAGTAACCATGTGGGGGCTACGTGGGGTGGTGGTGGAGGGATTGAGCAAAATAGAAAACAGGAAGAAAAAAGAGAAAAAAGCTCATGGACACGAACATCAGTGTGGCGATTGCCTGGGGAGGGGAGGGGAGAGGGTGGGGGGAGGTGAAGGAGGAGGGTATGGGGGATAAATGGTGATGGAAGGAGGCTTGACTTGGTGTGTGGTGAGCACATAATACAGGGTACAGGTGATGTGTTGTGGAATTGTGTACCTGAAACCTGTATAATTTTGTTAACCTGTGTTAACCCAATACATTCAATTTTTTTTAGAAGTAAAGGTGTGAGTGACTTTTCCTTTTTCTTCAGGCTCCCATCACAACCCTGATCTTGTCTTCATTTGAAGTTCTGATATTTTGTTCATTATGGATTGTTTTGCAATCCTTTTAAAAATACTGCATTAACCTGGCTGGTGTAGCTCAATGGATTGAGTGTTGGACTGCATACCAAAGGGTCACTGATTCAATTCCCAGTCAGGGCACACGCCTGGGTTGTGGGCCAGGTCCCCAGGAGGGGGCGCGTGCAAGGCAACCACACACTGATGTTTCTCTCCCTCTGGTTCTCCCTCCTTTCCCCTCTGTCTAACAATAAATAATAAAATCTTTAAAAAAATAAAATATTGCATTAAAATATTATTTATCTTAAAATGTCTATCCACACAATGGAATATTTTTCAGCTATAAAAAGAACAAAGCACTGATACCTGCTACAATGTGGATGAACCTTGAAGAGAAGCCAGACACGAAAGACCACATATCAGATGAGTCCATGTATATGATGTGTCCAAAACAAGCAATCCCTTAGAGACAGAAAACAGATTAACAGCTACCAGGGGCAGGGGTTGTGGGGGGGCAGAGGATGGGGAGTGACTGCTAATGGGTTTGGAGTTTCCTTTTGGGGCGCCGAAAATGTTTTGGAACTGGATAAAGATGGTGGTTGCACAACACGGGGGATGCACCAAACAAATACCATGTTTCAATGGTTAATTTTATTTTATGTGAAGTTAACATCGATAAAAATTAGTTAACACAAATCTGTGATTTAAATCTATCATTTATCTCGGTTACTCCGTTTTGGGTGACCACCCCCACCCTCCATCCCCACCTTAAATTTTACTCTGGTTGCGAGTCCCAACCTCGCTCCCGTCCCTGGAGGGAACCTTCCACCACCCGGGTCTGACCGAGTCATTCCGTTCCACACAGCCTCCAGGACGGAGTCTCCGCTCCCCGCAGCTTTCGAGCTGGTCTTCTCAGACAAACCAGGCAAAGGGGATTCCACCCACACCTCAAGGGCCCTCTGCCCCACCTGGCCTCCGACCTGCTCTGAATATTCTTCCCCCTCTCCTCGGCTTTATAAACTTCCACTCTTCCTTTGCGTTTGTTCAAGCCACACCTCCTTGCTATCTGTTAACCCGACTCTCTTTTTCTCAAACCCCACAACTGCACCCCCAGCTCACAACTGAGTCAGCCTTCTCGGGGACCCCCTGGCCTCCCTCTCCCACTGAGCCCGCCTCCTCCCGGGGCTCTGCCTCGGCGCCCTCCAGCCAGCCTCTCCGCAGGACTCTGTGGTCCCTCCAGGTCAGGCCCTCCCTCACACTGGCCCCTGAGGGATCTTCGTTAACACCCAAACCTCCTGACCTACTTCTTGTCACCTCTAGGCACAGGCTCTCAAGGCTGATGCAATAATCTGTTCATGGGTGACCAGTTTCGGGCAGGGACGTTCAGCCAGGAAAGTCTCCAGGACAGAGTCAGCGCTGCCCGTGGAAGATCACACCTCTCTCTCCCTCTCTCCCTCTCCCTCTCTCTCTCTCTCTCTCTCTCTCCCCCCCCCCACCCACCCCCCCCGCCTCAGTCCCCACACACACTCCCCCAACAGCTGCAATCTGGAAGAAATTACTCTCTGAAACAGCCAGTTTCAGGAAATTCCAAGCTGGGCAGGGGGAGGGGCCGGGCTGGGGGCGCGCCCCGGGCCTCCCCCACCCCCTTCTGCGTGTCCTCCCGAGCACACCCAGTCCCGGCCTCCTCCCGCCCCCACACTCAGCCCGGAGGGGGGCCTCAGCCTTTCCACCGCTGCTTTCTAGTCCTTTAAAAATCCTAGAGGCAAACTTTTGGAAGGTTGGTGGGGAATAAGGAAGGCTGGGCGGGGCCTGCGCCTTAACCCTGTCTGCCCCAGACGGACTGCGCTGGACTGAGCGGCGACTCCGCGCCCGTTTGGGCTCCGACCATGGCCCCCGAGAGGGGCTGACACTTCAGTTCGGTGCAGGTAAAAAAGGGACCGACGCCACAGGGTGGAGCCCGGACTTTTGGGTCTGAGCCGGGGAGGGGCTGGGACCCCTGACTCCGGACTGAGGGAGGAAGAGCTGGGAGCAGGACTCCTGGGGCCTGAGAGGCGAGGGGTCCGAGGAGCTGGCACCGTGGACCCGGATGCCTGGGTCTAGATCCCCTTCCAGGTTCCGTATGACACTTCCTTTGGCAGGTGAGATCGGGCCCGGAGGAAGGAGGAAGACGGCACGGGCCTGGGAGCCGGAGGCCGAGGCGGGCTCCGAACCCAGGACGCGGCGTCCCAGCTTGAGCCGAGCCGGAGCGCGCCGAGCCTGCTCTACGAGGACCCCGAGGTAAGTGAGGTGGTCGAGGTCCCCGGGTCAGGTCCGGAGGGAAGCAGGACCGACGGCCAGAGAGACGGCGGCGGCTGAAGCCGGGCGGCAGCCACGTGGCCGCAGGAAGCGCGCCCTGCAGTCCGCCGGGGCCGGGGTCTTTCCCGCCAGGGTCCCGCTGCCCCGCCTCGCCGCCTCTTCCACCGAGCCGGGAACCAGTCGGGCCGGATCTGGAGCGGGTTGTTATTTCCGTCCTGGCGGGGCTGGGGCCGGGAGGGGACACAGGGGAGAGCCAGCTGTGACTCCCCCGCCCCCCACTCGCCTTTGCAGCTGGAGCGCGCAGGAAGGGGAGGGGGCGGACCGGGGGCGGGCAGCGGGCGGCAGCCCAGGGTACCCGGGGGCAGGCGACGCGGGTCCCAGTCCTGGCTCCGGCCACTCTGCCCGCTTCACGTTTGTCACAAACAACGGCCCTTCTGTGGGAGCCTGGGCCGAGTGACGGGCTTTTTCAGATCGTGACCTCACTGCAGGGAGCGCGCAGCTTTGCTGGAGGGAGGTTAGAGCCTTTATGTAAGAGGGCGAGAGGCTGGGAGAAGTGGAGCGGCTGGCCCCAAAGCCTCAGATCTGGTAGAAGAGGGGGCACTCCAAAACACGACAAACAAAATTATACAAAAGCCATTTCCATCATTGTCCTCATCTGGAATGAAAACAAAAAAAAAAAAAAGAAAGAAAGAAAACGGGAAAAGAGAACAAAACAAACATGGTCGATGGGTGTAGGAAACCCCAGGCCTTTAGAGCAAATCAAAACATCATTTTTTCCGTGGGGACGCACACCGCCCATCCTATCCTATCCTATCGTACAAGGGCAATGGCGATCTGATGTCACCCTCACACGCTGGAGTTCATCTGCTGGCGCCCAAAGCCAGCCCTCGACATGGCTGTTGTGTGACCCAGGGCAAGTCACCTCCTCCCTGTGCCTCAGCCACCACAGCTGGAACACAGACCTGGTGACACGGGTCTCCCCGCTGTTTGGGCTGATGGGAGGATTACATGAGTTCGCCTGTCTGTGTGGCCCAGAATAAGTGCTTGGGGTATAAAACATCAGCATCCCAAGAGTGCTTTGCCACCACTTCTTGCATGCAGGCATTTTTTTTAATTCATTGGTTTTTAGAGAGAAAAGAGGGGTGGGGAGAGAGAGAGAAACATGGATCTGAGAGAGAAACAATGATTGGTTGCCCCTCCCCGCCGCCCTCGTATTTGCCCAGCTGAAGATGGAACCTGTAACCTAGGTATGTGCCCTGACCGGGGATCGAACCGCAATCGTTTGGTGTATGACATGATGCCCCAACCAACTGAGCCACCTGGGTCAGGCAGGGCTGCAGGCAGGCATTCTGATTCCTGTTTTCGGCGAGTACACGGAAGTTCAGAGATGAGGAAGCTGGTTCAGGGTCCTCCAGAAAAGCAATAGCAGGCCAGGTGTGTTTGATTAACATCAGAAACCAAGACCTTAAGGTGCTGCCAGGTGCTGGAAAAGGTCGGTGATGTCACCTGATAGGGCCACAGGGGGGTGAGCCAGGGCTGAGCAGGGAGAAGCTGTGGCCGAGAGCTGCCCAGGGTGTGGCACCTGTGCGAGAGCCAAAGATGGGAGTAGTGGTGACTCTGGAGTCCTACAGAGCTGGCTGTGTAACCTCGGGCAGATCGCCTACTCTCTCTGAGGTCCGTTTCCTTGTCTGGGATCAGGTGGGACTGAGCAGGTATTGAGCACTTGCTGTGTGTGCTGGGCACTGTGCTTAGGCTATCATGGGCAACATCTCACCTATCCTGGCCAAGAGGCTAAGAAGGATCATGTGAGTATCATCCCATTTTCAGAGGAGGGGGTGAGGTCAGAAAGGTTGAGTCACTTGCCCAAAGCCACACAGCAATGGGCAGATGCAGGCCTGAGCAGTTAGTTGGCTTTCCAAGTTGGGCTCTTTTCATTTGTTAACTCTCAGCAGAATAATAATAATGGGTCCTGAGAGAGGATTTATTTTAAACTGTGAGTTGAGATTCATTCATGAATGGAGGTCAGCATTTAAAAAATAAATACAATAGATTAGAATAAAAAATATTCAGGCATCTAGCATGTTAAAACAGTAAATCTTGTTTTGTACATTTTTTTTCCGCCTTATGCAGAGGGCAGAGGGAGAGGTCTGGTGATTGTTTGCTCGGGCTGCTATAAAAATATATTTATTCATCTAGGTTGAGGTCAGAGAAGGCTGAGAAACACTGCAGAACTAGTGAATCAAGACTGGTTTTCCCAGAGACATAAATGGTGTGTGTATGTGTGTGTGTTTGCATGTGTGTGTGTGTGTTTGTGTAGGGTAGAGGGCTGTGCTCATAACACATCCACCTACGATGATTTTAAGTTTTTCTGGCTTCACTTTTTCTCCACCGTATCACTCATATTTCCTAGGGTGCTTGTTACAGAGAGAACAATGTTGGCAGCTTTGCCTTCCTCTGAGGACTTGGTCAGATCTAAGTCTTGGTCAATCTCCTCTCACCGAGATTGTTTGGGAACACATGCCCGTCCCCCCCTCCCCCACCTGCCCCATAACACTAGCACTACCCATTGGCCAGCACCCTTACAAATATAGTTTTCCAGGTAGTTTTCTCTGAGCAAGGAAGCTAGTGACTTTTTATCCGTTTTACAGATAGGAGACAAAGAGGGGTCATGCCATATGTCCGGGTTTATACAGCTGGTGAAGGGTGAGGCCTCATTTCAAATAGAAAGAAAATAGTTCCTTATAACAGTGCCTGGTGACACAAAGGTGCAAGGTCACCAAAGGCCCTCCCAGAAGTGTCACAAAAACAGCCAGGTTCCAGGATGTGGGCAAAGGTTCACAGGCATTTCCCTGTAACGTGAACCCTGTCACCTAGCTTACAGCTCACAAGCTGCGTCACATGGATGCCATTCGGACAATTTTTAAACACAGACAGATGCGCCCTGTTATTGCTCTCTTACAAAAAGTAAGATGTTACATTGTCTGTTTTAACATTAAATAATTCTAATTAGCCGCTGGGCCTGCAGGCAGACTCCCAGACCCTCCCTCAGTCTCCCTGGTCAGAATCTTCAAGCAGGCCCCTTTATTTTGAAGAAATTGTGTTTTAGGGCTGCATTGGTATAAAGACAAATACAGTCCAGACATTTAGAAATAGATCCAACATTTCGGCATTTCCCCCGACCCCCAACCCCACCCCGGGGCCTCAGGAAGTGTGTGTGTGGGCCCAAGGCACCTTGCCTGCTGCCCTATTGGATGAAGTCAGCCCTGTGTTCAGGGACTTGCATGTGTGAAGAGCTGGGGTTTCTGTCACGTTTGGGGAGCATTGTGGGGGGGGGGGCTGCTGCTCATTCCTTGGTCTCTAGGAACCTCAACTGTTGGCTCATAACAAAATCAGCACAGCGTGGTGGTCATGGGCAGACCTAAAGTTGAATCTGAGACGTGAATCACGTAGCTGAAGCCTCTGGGAGCCTCAGTTTCCCCACATGTAAAATGGGAGTAATTCTCCCGCCATCATCCTGTCCCTACTGGGGTGGGGCAGGCGACATCCTGGGAATGGCTGGCTAGAGCCAGGGCTTGAGGTGCCGCACGCATAGGGGTCCACTCTGAGTGGAGGCCGCGCTGACCCACCCCTACCCTGCAGATGCCGGTGCTGAAGCAGCTGGGCCCCGCGCAGCCCAAGAAGCGACCGGAGCGTGGCACCCTGTCCATCTCCGCACCTCTCGGAGATTTCCGGCACACGCTGCACGTGGGGCGCGGTGGCGACGCCTTCGGGGACACGTCGTTTCTAAGTCGCCACGGTGGGGGGCCACCCCCCGAGCCCCGGGCACTGCCTGCAGGAGCCCCACGTTCCACACCCCCACCCGCGGTGCCGCAGCCGCAGCCGCCGGCTCTCCGCGCGCCTGCTCCCGCCGACCCGCTGTTGTCCTTCCACCTGGATCTGGGCCCCTCGATGCTGGACGCAGTGCTGGGCGTCATGGACGCGGAGCGCCCAGGGGTCGCGGCCGCCAAGCCCGACGGGGACCCCGAGTCCGGGCCTCAGCACCCCAGGGCTCGCTGCCACCCCGACGCGGATCTCGAGCTGGATGACGTCATCGGCCTGTAGGCTGTGGGTTCCCCGCGCCCTTGCCGTCCTGCACCCCACTTCTTTATATATAAACGGCCAAGGTCTGTGCCCCGGTTCTGTCTGTTCACTGTGGACGGTGGGAAAGGGGAGTGATGGAGTTCTGGTCCCCCAGGAGACTGAACCAACCACGTCTGATGGTGGGCGTAGAGTGGCACAGGCGGGCCCTTCAGAAAAGCCCGGGGCATGGCCAGGCGGAGCCCCTCCCAGAGGCGGGGTCCTGGCGTGGCTAATTCCACAGCCTTATTCATTCATCCTGTTGACTGAGTACCGCTGCGGGCGGGGTGGTGGCCTGCTTCACTCCCTTACCCTGGCGAGCCGCACAGGAAAGTTGCCGGGAAGAGGCGTGGTCCCTTGCAGGAGGGCCCCCTGTCCCCCAAAGGTGCGCTGGCTCGAATGCTAGGGCGGCAGGGGCGTCAAGTTTGAGCTACGAAGTTCCTATTGAGCCTTCAGAAGTCTGGTTGTCCCCTGCGTCTGAAGAGGGCGCAATCCAGAGGGGCGTGGCAGCACATGCAAATTGCAAGGCGGGGGCGGGACCAGCCCAGTGACATCTGCCCGGAAAGAGGCGGGGCTTCACACGCAAATCACTAGATGGGGCGGGGTCAGACTTACTAAGGACTCAAAGGAGCCGCACTGGTAAATGATTAGCTGGGATGGGAGCCAGGCTCGCTAGGAGCCCAGGGAGGGCGGTGCTGTACGCGTCAATCTTTTGGACAGGGGGTGGGACCACACTCATAAACCCTACTCTGTGGAGGGGGCAGGAACAGGATTCCCCAGGACACTGTGGAGGGCGAGGCACTTGGCCGGAAGTCAGAGTCCCAGTCCCTGAGTGTGTGTGGGCGTGCTTCCCGGGCCACGGTGTGCTCAGAGCGACCGCTGGCAACGCCACAATCCGCTCACCGTCCTGGTGTCTATGGAGGAGGCAGGAGAGCCCGAGTCGCCCCCCGAGGCCCCCACCACGGAGCCCCCTCCGCCACAGGCCTGCCGCTTCTTCCTGGAGGGCCGCTGCCGCTTCGGCGCCCGCTGTCGCCAGCCCCACCCCGGGGCCACGGCCCCTGCGCGGCCTAGCTGCGAGGCGGAGGCGGAGGCGGAGGCTGGGATCAAAAAGCCCCCGCTGCGCACTGCCTCGGACGTCATCCAGCGCATCCGCTGGGACCCGCGCCTAGACCCTGCTGACTTCTCGGTGGGCTACGCCGACCGCTTCCTGGGAGTGCTGGAGGAGCCCTTCAACTCCTTCTGCTGGGACGAGCCGCTGGCGGCACTCGGTCCCGGATCGCTGGCCGTACCGCAGCACCGCGTACGTTATTTCCGCTTCCGTGGCCGCATCGTGTGGGACCGCGCCTCGCGTACTGATCACGTCTTCGGCTCCGGCTCGGCGGAGGGCCGTGGGCCCACCATCCTGGATGCACTGGACGTGCTTGAGGATGGAGAGGCACACGAGGCCGGAGATGTGCTCGGTGATGAGGACGCGCACGAGGCCGGAAATGTACACAGCAGCAGGGACTCACTCAGGGATGGAGATGCGCAGGACGACGCACACAGGACCCGGAAAAGGCATGAGGTCGACGTGTCTGGGGCCAGGGAGGCACAGGACTGTGTAGCGGCCCCCTATGCTGGCGCCGCCCCAGCAGGAGGATGCAGAGAGACGGCCAGGACGGGCCCCACTGAGGGGGACCTGGTGCTGGCAGGGGTGTCTATGGATGCTCAGAAGCTGGTTGGAGCCAGAAGCCAGGCTTCCCCAAGGATGGAGCCCAGAAAGGTGCAGAAGCCGACTGCCAAAGACAGGACCCGAGAGAAACAGCCCCCCACAGGAGACCTCCCTCAGACGCAGGAGAGGTGTCAAGTGGAATGGGGCCCTGGGACCTGGCCCAAAGACAGCAGGGAGGCCACAGTGGCCAGGGCCCTGGCCCCTCGGCAGCTTCGCCCCACGCACTTTGTGGCCCTCATGGTGACAGACCCCGGGTTGCAAGCAGGGGTGGCTGAGGCCCAGGAAGAACTGGTCCGAAGGATGCCGTCCTGTGCTGCTTTCATGGTGCCCCCTCAGACTCTGCACCTGACGCTGGCCCTGCTGAGGCTGGCAGGCCCTGGGGACACTGCGGCCGCTCTCAGAGCACTCAGGCATGCGCTCTCAGCCCCAGGACTCCAGGCACCCCCGCAGCTGAGGTTCAGGCAGCTGGTGCTCCTGGGCCCCCATGTGCTCTGTGCTCTGCCCTCCCCCTCCCTAGAAAACATGGCCCAAGTGCTGAACCAGAGGCTGGAGGCCGAGGGGCTCAGAGTGCTACAGCCTCCCGGGGGCCTGCACCCCCACCTCACGCTGGCCAAGGTACCCCAGGGCTCCCAGGACCACCTCCCCACACCTGGGTTCAGCCCAGAGCAGGAGCTGGGGAGCCAGCTCCTGAGCCAGCTCTGGCTGTGCTGTATGGGGAGGGCAGGGGGCACCTACCAGCCCCTGGCTGAGGTGCCCCTGCAGTGACCGTCCCAGACCCCTCAGGCTGACAAGTAGACCTCAGCCCTGAACACCAGAGGAGATCCAGTCCCAGCAGGAGAGACAAAGCACGTTCTCTCTCTCTCTCTCTTTAATTTTGGTTTTGCTCAAGCTTCCAAATGTGCTCAGTGCTCCAAGGAAAGAATGAAGGAGAGAAAGGGGAGGGGAAAGGAAAGGGAAGGGAGGCAGAGGAGGAACATCTGGAAGAAAAGCAGCCTGACAGTCCAGCTGTTTGCAACTCACTGCACGTCCTCCAGTTACATGGCAGAAGAGGGAGGGGAGGGCGAAAAGAAAAGGGGAGGAAGAGGAAAAAAAATAACTTAAATAAACACACACAAAAAGAAAAGAAGGAAACATGACGTGAGCTGGTGATCCATGGAGGTGGGGAGGGGGAACCGTTTACCTGTGCTGAACCAAGGGAGCAGGGAGCAGGGAGGAGGAGGAGGGAGGAAAGGGGAAAAAAAACGAGAAACACTGGGGTGGAGGGAGGAAGGGACACGAGACAACTTAGTACAACTGCAGACGAGGCGGCCCGGCCGGTGAGGTCCCGCGATGGCCTCTGGCATCCTCAGTGCAGGGTGGCGGCTTGGATCTGCTGGTGGCGTGGTGTGGCATGGTGTCGGCGTTTCTGGGGTGGGAGCCAAAGGCAGGACACAGTCTCTATGGCTCCCCTTGCCCCGAGCACTGAGGCCCCAGAGGGCTGGGCAACAAGAGTCTGTGGTGAGGTAGGCACACGGGCGATGAGTGGTGAGCGGCGGGCGGCGTGCTGGTGCCCCCGCCGCAGCGGGCACAGGCAGAGTGGCCTGTCTTCTTCCACTGGCCCCCTAGCATGGGATGGGCCAGGGTGCCGGGTTGGTACCGGAGTACAAGCTCGAGAGAGAGAGAGAAAAAACACTGAGACAGCATTAGTAGAGGTGCAGAGTGGACAGACCAAGCCCCCAGCCCTCTGCTGCCCCACCCCTCCTCCCATCCTAACCCATCCCTCTGAGACAAAAAATAAAAATGTAGAAAAAATCTCTGTACAGACTCCCCGGTAGGAAAACGGGGGCAGGGATGGTGGCTCTTCCTGGAGCCCACTCCCCACAATTTTACAACCCAAGTCCATGGCTCAAAAAACGTGCAGAGGCGGCAATGGGGGCCGCAGCCCTGCCCCCCCCACCCCTGGCCCCCTTCACGTGGAGCTCAGAAGGCGGACAGCTGCGCCAGGCTGAGGCGGCAGTCGATGCTGGCGTTGTCCGGGCCCGTGTAGGCCAGGCCCAGGGGCTCTAGGAAGGCCCGGCAGGCGGCCTCGCCCTCGAAGGCCAGCTCGGCCTGCAGGTAGGAGACAGGCAGCGCAGGGCGGAAGCTACGGAGACAAGAGGAGAATGTGATGAGGTGGGCAGCAGGCAGGGGCCCCCACGAGCAGGGAGTGGGTGCCCCCCCTTCAGACACTCAAAGGGTTTTCTTAGCACATTACCTGCTGACCTCTGGCACCCACCCCCACCTCCCCACCTCTGGGGCTTGGGGAGCCGAGGATGAGGCTGATGGCCCCAACCCCAGCTGTGCCCCCCCCCTTGACCCTCACTTACCTGTGCAAGGGGGCCGGGAAGGAGGGGGGAAGGGAAGGACCCACCTGGCTCTTCCACTGCTCCAGGGCCTGAGCAGTCCCTCAGAAGAGGACCACTGTGGCCAAGGGGCAGGGGCCAGGCAGAGGGAGTAACCCATGGGGACAGGCATAGGATGGCAGGGCTGACAGCTACGCTGGGGGCCCAGCCCTCATGGGACCCCACATCTGGGTGCAAGTGCCTCAGGAACACCCCAGGCACAGGTGCCAGCCAACACTCACTACACATTTCCAACAGGAATCTCTGGTTGTCAACAACAGACACTCCTTACTGAGCACCTGGCACGTGCCCAGAAATAGCTAGCTGCTCTAAGGCGGCCACACTGACACACCGAGTTCTCTGCCTGAGAGCTGAGTCACCTACCCTCACAGACACACCCAGGGAACTGTGGGCCCAGAGGCAGAGCCACCTGGCCAGTGTCACCTAGGAAGCAAGTGACAGAAAGGACTCAACCCGGTCCTGCCCCAAGCCCATGCATTTCCCAGCCCTGGCTGCCCACGGGGCACAGAGGAGCCTGCTGCACCCACGTCAGAGCTGCCTGTAGGCCACCCTGCAGGGACCTGGCTCTGGGATGAAGGGCCACGTCTGCCAAGGAAAGGCAGTGTCCACTTGAGGAGTGGGAAAGTGGAGTCTGAGGTTAGTGACAGGCCAGGGGCCTCCCACAAGGCACAAGGCTGGGTCCCCACCTAGGGCCGAGCACACGGGAACTAATGAGGACATAGTCACTGGCCTGGCTACTACACCCCGGGAGTGCACAGAGGCCCGGGAGCTGCCCGCAGGGGCCTGTCCAGCTGCACAGGCTGGGTGCAGAGGGGCAGCGGGAGTACCTCAGGCACACCGCCCTTCCCACCGCTGGCCAGTAAGCAGGTCCTGCGCATCCTCCCCCTCCATTGTCTGCCCTGTGTCCTCTTCTGTTCCTGCAGCCCCTGAAGTGTGCCCCTGACCTTCAGGTTGCCCGCCCCTCCCCAGCTCCAAAGCACCCCAGTGGCTCCCAGGCTAACAGACATGGCATTTGAGGCCCCTTGTGTGCTCCGATCCTGACCAGGGCTCGAATCCACAGAAAGACCGGCAGTGGGGCCTGAGTACATGCTGTGGGGTGCCATGTGCACTGTGGGCTGGCCAGGAGCACCCCCAGTCTTTCTACCTACCACAAACCAGTAGCGCCCCCTAGCAGTGACAACAGAAGATGCCTCCTGAGCCTGCCCTGGGTCCCGGGGTGAGGGGAGACGCACTGCCCTGAGCACCACCAGTCCCCACACTGGAAAGCACACGGTGGGCGCGCTCCATGTCTGGGGAGTGGAGGACACGCCCTCTGTAATCACCGCCCAGGGCCAGCCCTTTTCCCTAACGTTTTTTGTACTCAAAATAGGACTCAAGTAGGAACAGGGCCTGTCCCATCTGACCAGAAGCTGCCAAGAGCGGGGCTGTGTTTCTGGTTTGTCGCTAAGGAAGGAGCTCAGTGACAGGAGTGCCATGGGAGAGAGGCGGCGGAGGAACAGCAGGGGTGAAGGGACCCGGAGCGAGACAGAGCGTGGTCAAGGAAGGGAGGCGCAGGAGAGCTGGGACAGAGGGCAGGCTATGCAGAGGACAGCAGGAAGGACAGGAGGGGAAGATGAGGAGGGGAGAGGGGACCAGGCAGGAGGCCAGAGGGGCCTGGACTCACTGGGGATGGGGACAAGAGGCCTGCCCACTGGGAGTGAGCGGAGGGAAAAGAGAGGAGGGGCAAGGGAGAGCTCAGCTGAACATACGTTTTGATCATGGCCTTGAGGGCGGCCTTGCGCTCTCGGTCCACAAACTTGTCTATGAGGTAGCCAGACATACAGGGCGCATGGCCATAGAGACGGAAGAAGCGGTGGTAGTTGCCCAGAGCCCAGGCTGCCCTCAGTGCCAAGGCATGGGCCACACAGGGGTCCGTTTTCAGCTCCCGAGTCAGGTAGGCCAGCTCCGTGGTGATATCTGCGGCCAAGACAAAAGATCAGCAGGGCCCGACCTTGGGGGCTGGGGCCACCCGGTCCTGTGGCTGCGCCTCTCACCTCCGGAGTTCTTGGTGAAGATGTAGTAGAGGATCCGGTAGGCGGTGAACTCGCCCACGTTGCCGGGCAGGTTCTCCGTGTACAGAGATTTGAGCTGCGTCTGGCACTGGTTGAACTCCTCGTGGTCACCCTGGTCAGCGAGGTGCGGGAGGAGGAGGAAGAGGAGCACAGTGAGGCCAAGTGAGGCCTGGAAGGGAGCCCAGGGGAAGCCCTCAGCTGACTTACCTTCTCCAAGGCGATTCGGGCGTGCGTCTCATACACTTCCACTGTGAACTCGGTGCGCACGCCTTGCACCTGGGGAGCAGGCCGGAGTCAGGCCAGAGCAGGGTGGGATGCAGCTCCCCCACTCCCTCATCCCCCATCCCAGGCCCCAGCCCCTCACCGTCAGGTCCTGCCGGATGGACTTCATCTGCTCGCAGGCAAAGGCGTAGTCCTGCTTCTCCTTCCACTGCGACTTGACCATGCACAGGGACTTCTTCAAGACCTGGGAAGGGGCACACGGAGGCTCACTGTGACAGGCAGGCAGAGCAGGGACGTGCCGAGCCCTGTTAAGTCCTCCAACTCGGTGTCTGAGATGAGGGCTGTGACACCAAACCGGCTCAGTGCCATGAGGAAGAGCCCACGGGCCGGCGAGAGTGAGTGCTCCCAAGCTCAATCCCCACATCAGCACTGGCCTGCATGCCCCTGGGATGCATGTTCCCTGCCTCGACCCTGGGCCTCACTGAGCATGCTGGGGTCCTCCTCTCCATCTCAGGAAGGACCCAGGGGCCCCAAAGCCCAGCAAGTCTCCTGACAAGGCTGTGCACCTGGGACTCGGGGCTCCAAGTGCCCACCTGGCCAGCCACATGCCCCTGCCCGCCCCTGCCCTCCCCAGCACTTACCGCCACGGGGCGCACAGTGGATGGGTCCGGGGCACAGGTGAGACGCAGGTAGTGTTTGGTGATGTCCGGGCAGGTGCCCACGATCTGCAGCTCCTGCCAGTCTGGGTCGGCCCCGCTGCTCTCCAGACTGCCCACCTGCAGCACCAGGGGCTCGAGGCGCAGGCGGCGGGAGTGCCCGTGCTGGAAGCGGGCCGCCCGCTTCTGCTTCTTCAGCTCACGCTCGGGGTCTTCACACTCCAAAGCCGCCATCCTCTTTCGGTTGCGCTTGGTGGGAGCTAGGTCGTGCCTGGGGGGAAGGGAGGAGGGTGGGTGGAGGAGGCAGGCAGCCAAAACCGCCCAGCCTCTCCAGCGCTGCCCGAGGGCAGGGCACCCCTCCCTGGTCACCCTCTGGATGGCTCACCTCTTCCCTCGCTGTGCCCTGCCTCGGCCCCGATCCATGTGGGCCCCCCGACCTCCCCGGCCCTTGGGGGGTGGGTTCCTGCGGCCCACAGGCTGACACTCGTTCCCTGAGTATGAACTGTCGGAGTCCGAGTGGGAGTCACTGTGGGGAGACGCAGGGAGGTGAGGCCCCTGCTGGCCCCCCACAGGCCCACCCCCACACAAAGCCTGCGCACCTTCGGCGGAAGTGGCGGGTCGGGGACCGGGAGGAAGAGCGGGAACGAGAGTCCGTGCTGGAGGAGGAGCTGTGGTCCTTCATGAAGACATTGCGGTTGCCAAACTTGGCGAAGCTGCTGCCCCGCGCTCGGCCAGCACCCCCAGCCCCTGGTGTCCCTCGCTGTGACTGGGCACCCCCGCCCCTGGTCGTGGAGCCTGCCCCCCTAGGAGGGTGAAGGCTGCTGGGGGCCTCCCACCGCTTCTTCTTGGGACTCTCCGCCACAGGCTCCCGAGTCAGCCTGAGGACAGAGCAGGACATCACCAACCATGCTCCCAGTGTCCTCCTCTGCCACCTGCCCCGGGGACACACCGCCTCACACAAGAAGGGCATGCACCCAGTGACAGATAACTTGCTGCAGAAGTGGAAAGCAAATGCCAGGCTTCTCTATCCACAGGGAGCTCTTAGCTACTGAGCCCTGCACACCCACCAGCCTCCACAGCCCTCGGTTCTGCCCTCCCGGCCCCACCCCGGCACCCAGGCAGCCCTCGCCCCCATCTCCAGGCTGGACTCACCCTGGCAGAGGCTCCCGGCTCCAGTCGATGGTGTAGGCGGAGCCATCCTGGAGCCGGGCCTGCAGCACCTCCTTGAGCAGCTTCTCCGTGCGGTCCTTGTCCTCCTCCGACTCGCAGGCTGTGAAGCAGCGCTCCACATACTCCTTCATGTCCTGCGGCCAGTCGTCCGGCTTCCCAGACAGGCTGCCCCTGCTCGAGGCAGGTGTGGGGCTCAGCTGGGAGGCACCCAGGCTGGCAAAGCCCACCCCACCACCACTCCACGAGCCGAGGCACATGCACACTTGGCCGCACCATTTCTCCTCCCTCCCTTTTCATGCTCATGGAAACCCTGGGGTACAGAGCCTGCGTGGGGGTACACGGATGCCAGGTGCGGAGGCAAGGGGCTGTCACCTGTGGTTCTGGGCCTTCTCGGGGTTGGGCTGGGGGCCAAAGCTGCTGTGCTGGCCCTCCGAGGTGGAGCTGAAGTTCTGGCTGGTGACAGCGAAGGGCCTTTTCTGAATATTGAACTTGAGGCCACCAGTCCCGGGGGCCGCTGTGGGGGTGGGCAGTGAAAGCTGGGGTTAGGCTGCCTCTAGGCCCCTGGGAATGGGAGGCCCAACTCTACGTGGGCACCCAAAGGCTTTGGGACAATCCCAGCACCCCCATGCCTCCTGCCCAGGTGCCATGAGGTCCAGCCCCACACCCTGGCTTCTCTGCACCACTGCCCACTCACGCTTCATGCGGTTCCACAACTGCTGGCCCTTCTTGGGCTTGGTGGGCTCGGGGTAGGCGTGTGGCCCGTAGGCCTGGCCCGAAGCAGGCCCCGCCTGGCTGTGCTGTGTGGCTGGGGCCGTCCCAGGCTGGGGGCCACTGCTGAGAGCATGAGCCCCATGCTGCGGGTTGGAAGGCTGAGGGGGCTGGGCTGCTGGCATCTGCTGGGGAGGGGCCTGGTAGGACATGCTGTCGTCCATGCCGGGGACCGGGGGCTGCCGGAGGAAGTGGCGCTGAGGACAGGGGCAGAGTCTCGGGGCTGCTCTCTCAGTTCCCAATCACATCACTCAGCCCTCAACTCTGCCGTGACTTTCCCCTGCTAACCACCCTTTCACACTGAGAAGACTCAGGCTCAGACACACAGCTGCTTTCCCACGGCCCCAGCTGTGAAGTGGCAGCACCACCGCCCCCCCCCCCCCGCGCCCACAGTTACGTCCTGAGTGCATGTCCCGTGCCAGTCAAGGACACATGTGATCACACACACTCGCATCAGCCCTACGCCCCAATCACCATTCCCACTCTGAACTGGGTGAGCTCCTGGGCACCTGACTTGTAGTCACACCACCAGAGGGGGTGCTGGGATTCGAACCAGATCCGCAGCCTCCCTGTAGTGCTCCGCCCAGGTGCACAGTAGGTGCAGGCCCAGGTCATGTGTGTGGCTGTGCATGTGAGCACCCGTGCAGGGGAGGTACAAAAGATAGGCTGCCACACTCCAGGCTGCTCCCACCATCACCCCAACAGCCAGGCCCCAGCTTCACCAAGCCCTAGGCCTATCCGGTTTCAAAATCTCTGCCCTGCCCTCCTCACTCGCAGAGCAGCACTTGCTTGGTAGGAGAGAAGGGGGGTGGGGGTGGGGGGTAATAACTTAACATAGGCATCCCTGCTGCTAGGCCACTCAAAAACTGCACCCCGAACTCCAACATGCGCGGAGATGGGCTGGGGCGTTACCTGGTTGAGAGTGCCTTGGTGCTGGGGAGCCGAGGGCTGCTGGGGCGTGGCTGAGCCGTAGGAGCCGGCCATCCCGTACTGGGAGGGGGAGCCGTAACTCTGGTACATGCTCTGCACAGGCAGAAAGAAGGGTTAGCGGCAGGCTGGCTCCCCCTCCTCCTACTGCTCAACAGCCGACACCGTCCTGACCCTCCCCTCACAGCTGCCCCCTTTCCTTTTCTCTCCACCACATAAAGGCACCAAATTCCCTTACGTTGAGAAAGTTACTAAATAAAATAAAACCTTCTATCAACTCTATATCCCACTTTTACTGGTTCCCAGGATTTTTTTCTGTTTCACAAATATCTGCTGCATGCCAGCTCTTCTAAGTGCTACAGCAGAGCAAACATGAAGCCACCCGCCCTGGCTGGTGTGGCTCAGTTGGTCGGGTGCCATCTCTCAGACCAAAGGGTCATGGGTTTGATTCCCGGTCAGGGCACATGCCTAGGTTATGGGTTAGATTCCCAGTTGGGGTGTGTATGAGAGGCAATCGATCAATGTTTCTCTCCCTCTCTTTTTCCTTCCCTTCCCCTCTCTCGGAAACCAATGGGAATGTCCTTGGGTGAGGATTAAAAAAAAAAAAAAGGGTAACAATCCACGGCCAAATAAAGTTGGCACTCAAAATACACGCAGGTGTAGACAGACATGTAATATGTCAAGCAGTAAATGCTGTTACAGGCTGAGAAAAGAGGCCGAGTAGAGGATGAAGTGCTCCTTTTAATAACGCAGGTCCTCAGAACCAGGCTGTGACCCGGTGGGCCACGAGGACGGGGCAGGGGCTTGGGGTGCCGCATGCACTTACCACGGGGTAGTAGTAGCTGTAGGGGTAGGCATAGCTGTACTGCTGGTACCACTGGTAGTACTGCTGCTGCTGCAAGGCCGAGGCCTCCGCCTGTGACACGTACTGTGGGGAGAGGCCCATGGCCGTCAGCCTGGGCAGTGGGAACCCTCGGCCCACAGGCCCCAAAGGGCAGGACTGACTGTCTCCTGATCAACTGCCACGGAGCAGAACTGGGGACGTCTCTCCACAGAGAGCCACCGCCTCTTCCATCAGACTCGGGCACCTCAGGGACGAGGACACAGGGCACCCCAGACGCTTCCCCCACTCTAGGGCTCCTGCCGCATCTTCAGAGACCTCCGACCTGGGAGGACACCAAGTGTGCCCCACCCCCCAGCAGTACCGCCCCCACTGCCAGGGAGCCCAGGCCCACGAGGCCTTCTTACCTGTGCACTGGCCACAGGCCCATTGCTGCTGGCCTTGGCGGAGGTGCTGGCAGCTCCCGCCTTGCTGATACTGGCCAGGGCCTGGCGGGCCTTCTCCCACTCTGGGTTCTCGTGCATGGGCGTCTCCATGCCGTTCTCCCTGCCAGCCCCAGCCACCATGCTGTACTGAGAGGACCTGTGGAGAGCGCACATCGAGTCAGCCTGCGCTCCCCAACTGCACCACAGGGCAAGGCAGGAAAGGCCACTGCTGGGCTGGGAGCCCTGGTCTCCCTCTCGCTGTCTACTGCAGCCTGAATCTCCCACCTCTGGCATGCTGACACCCAGTTTCTGTTTTGGTTTTGTGTGGAACTGATGGGAGCACCTACCTACAGGGCTTTCGCAGGTGCCGGGCACACAAGCAGTTGTTAAATAGTCAAGCAAACAAAACAATTACCACTACCTGCAGAACCTAACATAGGACCTGGTGCCTAGCAGGTCTAAATGTTCTATGAACTAATGAGTTCTGTCTGACACCACCCCACTCAGTGGGTTGTAATCACAGCTTTGAAAAAAATCAGGAATTAGCAAAAAGATAAACGGCCGAGTAGTACGTTTTGGAGGGTTGTTTCCCAACCACAGTTCACTGAATGAAATACCACAATTCTGTAAAACAAGTGCTGTGCTGCGAATCGTGGAGGCTCAGAAGGCCTGACCATCTCCCCACCGGAACCAAGTGGGCCCTGCACTCTGAGGCCAGTGGGCCCCACCCCCACCCACTGTTGCATCACTCCCCCCCCACTGGGGCATGCTTCCTCTTGTCCCCCCCCCCCATCTCCCACCTTTGTCCCTTTGTCCCACTAACCAGTCTGTGCTGCGCTGATCACCCACATTGGCCGCCATCTGGACCTTGGGGTGTAGGGGGGGGGCCTCGGGAGCCAGACTGCTTTTTCACTGTCTGTGAGAAAATGAAGAAATTAGGGAGACTCCAGAAGCAGCAAAAAAAACACACCACAAAGTGGAAAAGAGAAGCAGATAAACTCATGGGAAGCCAGACAGAAGAGAGAGGTCTGAGAGGAGGAGTCCCTGGGGGAAGAATCTGAAGAGCATTCTGGGTGTGGGATAGAAGGGCCACCATGTGAGGGGAAGACCTGGCCTGCCTGCAATGCCCTGGGTGGAAAACGAAGGGCCTGAAAAGAGGAAAGTCTGAAGGGATTTCCCAGAGGGAACTAGGAGGATCTGAAACCCACATGAAAGGGAAGGATTCAAGGGAACACTCAGGCAGGTCAGAGAGTGGGGTGACGACCTCAGTCCAGAGTAAGGAGTCTATGACTCCCTGAGAAACAGCAGGAGAGCAAGGATGCTCTAATGAGCAAGTCTGGGTGAACCCTTATGGCAGGGAGAACTCTGTAAATACAGGGAAGGGTATCTGAATAAGGTCTGAGGAAGCCTTGGACAAAGAACCTGGGAGAACGCAGGAAAAAAAAACAACCTAGAAAAGGGGGATTTCTGCAAATTACTCCTAGAAACAAAGAGAAGTTGGGAGTGCAGAAGGAGAACAAAGTGAGGAAATGGCTTCCTAGAAAGCTCCAAGAGAACAACTGCAGAGAGGTTCCCTAAGGCAGGGAAAGTGTAGGGAAGTGCACCGAGGGAGGATTGGGCCCGGGAGAGAGGAGGCAACCGCCTCCCTGCGGGTCTGCAGTGGGAGCTTTAGGGAAGCCTCAATTTTCCCAAGTTAAGAGTGGAGTGAGGAGGGGCACCAGAAAGTGAACAGGTGTCTTGGAGGCAAAAATGGGGGGGACTAAACTTGAAGGGATGACAAGTATGCGTAAGCTCAAAAGCCAGTCCTGATAGAGAACCCGACAAACCTTCTTGTGCGTTAGAGATACAAATGAAGGTCTGGAGCTGGGAAAAACCCTAGACAACGTCTTGGATGGAAGAGAACAGTGTCGGGGGCCGAGGGAAGGGAAGAGCAAGTAAGAGTTCAGGCGCAGAGTACTGACGGGGAGGCGACATGGAAAGGAGACTGGGGTAAGGCCTGGAGGTGCCCGGAGTGACGGCCCTGGAAAGTGTAAAAGGCAAAGGCACCTGGCCGTCGGGCAGGCCCGGGGAAGGCACAGCCTGGTGGAGGAAAGGCCATTCCGGTTACCCGCACCTGGCCCCGGTGCCACCTCCCAGGCCGCGCCGCGCGTGCGCACCATGTTCCCGGGAAGACGGCGCCAAGGGCCTCCCGTCTCCTGGGACAACGCTGTCGACCCCGTGGAACTGCCCTGTCAACGGGAGATACGGGAGGGGCGCTGGGGGGAGCCCGGAAATTCCAAGGGACGGGCGGGGAGCAGAAATAGACCCCACACACCAGAGGGTGCGCGGCCGGGCCCCACCCCACGTGCGCAGGCGCAGTGCCGCCCTTGACCGCCACACCCTGTCGACGCTCGCGGGCAGCGTCCGTTGGGGTGACAGCCACCAAGGCCTTGAAGCCCGCGGGGCGTTAAGACCGAGAGGAGACGCCGTGCCCACCCGCCCGCCGCTCCCCACACCCACCTCGTCCTTTCGTCCCCGGGACTCGGCAGCAGTGGGCCAAGGAAATATCCGCACGGCCCCAGGATTGCTCGCGAGCCAGCTGACTCTTGTCTTCCTTGGGCTTCGTCGTTCCGACTGCGGCGCTCTGACGTCACGCGGAGCCTCGTCCCGCCTCCGTCGACCCTGCACAGCCAATGGATGCCGCGAACCTGACTTGAGCCCGCCCCCCCCTTCGCTTACGCAATTACCGGGTGGACGCTCTAGGCGAGCCAGAAGACCAGGTGGGGACGGTGTCCCGGAGGGGACTTGGCAGCCGAGCGGAGCGCCGCGCGCCCCTCCCCCCCTCCCCCGCCGCGCTGCCGCGCTTTGGCTGCGTTAGTGGGTGCATTATTACAATTCCTAAATATAAACTAGGGTGGTGGGACTTGTAAGACTGCCCGCTGTCCAAGGATGTCGAAGCCTGGGGGAGAGACTGACGAACTCAAAGGGGATGAAACGATGCCCATCGGAAATGGAAGGTTCCTTAGTAAAGGAAACGGGAGCGGCACATCTGGTCCGGGGAACAGCCAGTGCGAACGCTCGGAGGCGCGAAAAAGGGCCGCTTAAGGGGGGATGGAGGGAGTGGGGACGGCGGCGGAACACAGGTCCTGGAGTGATGAGGCAGGTCCTGCGAGGCAGGTCCTGCAAGGCCACTGATGTCAGTCTGAGGAATTCGGACTGTCTGTGTAAACAGTCTCTTTTTAAAACTTCTTGTAACGAAGCTTTGCGAGGGTGCGTATGTTTCCTTCCAGAACTCGGATAAAATTATCCAGTCCATGGGGGACCGATCACGGTAGGAATAGTAGGTGGTGGAGCAGTATTTAAAGGCGGCTCCCCTCTCCCCACTTTCTACTATAACTTTCCTGTTGATACCATGTATTACATTGTTTCTGTTAACATGCTTGACCTTTTTCATCCTTTTAATTTTTTCCATCACCATTTTCGCCCTCCCTCCTCCCCATACCCTCTTCCACCTCCACCTACCCCCACTCCCTTGTATTTTTTTTAAATTAAACTTTTAGAGTACTTTTAGATTTACAAAAAAAGTTGCAGAGTGTATTCAGAGTTTTGAATATCCTCCACCCAGTGTCCCCTAATGCTGCCACCTCGCGTTATTGTAATACATTTGTTGAAACTGAGAAACCAATGTTAGCACATTATTACTACTATCTAAACGGCAGACTTTATTGGAATTTCACCCTTTTTCCCCACTACTGGCTTTTCGTCCAATCCAGGGTACCACCGCGTGTTTAGTACTCCTTTAGTTTTATTTTCTTCCCCTGTGTTTAAGGTGGGTTCTCGTAGACACCATCTAGTTGGGCCTTTCTTTTTACCCAAGCGTGCAATCTCTGTCTTTTGAAAGCAGTGTTTGTGACTGTTCTTTAACTTGATTTTTGGTGTGGTTACATTTAAACCTATCAACTTACTATTGGATTTCTATTTGTCTATTTTTTTTTTTTGGAGTTTAAAGTGAAAGAGAGTTTATTAGTGAAGCAGGGAGTGGGCTGCTCCACAGACAAAGCAGCTGTCCATCTTTTGCTCCCCCTTTCCTCTTTTTGGTTTGAGCATTTTTTTTAAGAGGTAAGACATCTAGAGCAGTTTTCAGGGAGGCCCGTGGGGGGTGCTGTGCCTCAGTTCCCCTCTCCTGCCCTGTGGTAGGAAACAGATGGCCAGGCTGTGTCCACTTCAGGCCTCAGCTGTGTTTTCCATCTCCCTATGATCTCTCTCCTTCCTTTCCTGACATCCAGAGTCCTGAGCACCTTTATTGCTTCACGTGTTCTGTCTGGCTTTTGGGTTGTTTCAGGAAGGAGAGCCGTCCCTGTTCTTCCATCTTGGTTGGCAGTGAAACTGCTCGTATGTGTCATGTTAAAATAAAATAAAAAAAAGATTCTACCTTTTGTAAAGGCTAAATTAAGCAAGTGTCCTTTGTTCTTGGTTAAAGCTTCTTGAGTGAAGATCACTGGCAGGCTCCTTGGCAGGAAATCAGGCAGTCTGAATCTCATGGTAGTTTGTAAGCATCCAACCAACATCAATAATCAACACAAAGATCAGCTCCTGTACCTGGTCTGCGTCACTAGAAGGCAGTGTTGGAGAGCAAAGCAGCCCCAAAAGCAGCAGGGCTGGCCCCTGCGGGGGCGGGGCAGGGTACAGGACAGGGCTCAGTCTTGAGAAGAAAGTCAACACAGGTGGCCCCCAGAGGTCTGGGCTGGAAATGGTAGTGGATTTCTCTTCCCAGATGCCAAGAGCTACTTCAAACATTCCATTCCTTGCAGTTCGCAAGATGGAAATGATTAGGGAGCACAGAGTAGTCCTGCAAGGCATGTGGGCCTTTGGACCAACGAGCTCTGACCTGAATCCCCTGGGGCTGTGTATGTGTTTTGGGATCTGGGGTCTTTCAGGTTCAAGAGGCAAGAAGGTATATAGTCCACACAGTACACAGCACCCTCTGTACCCTGCATGACACTTGGAAGTAACTCCATCAGGGTTTCTGTGGGAAGTAGGTGAACATTCCTCCCAGGCAGGAAATTGTCTGTAAGGGACCAGGTGCCAGGGTGGGTCAGGCTCTGCAGCCAAGTGAATTAAGGGAGGTCCTCTGGGCTGTCTAGCAGCCCTTTGATTTCAGAATTGAGAGGAGGGACTGGGAAGCTGTCCAGGAGATGAAGCAACCTTGGTCCCACAGCTCAAGGGACTGCCCACATCCCTTAACCACGGCCTCATCTGCATTTGTCCACTCCACTGCCATTGTCTGTCTGGCCCACCTCAAATCTCTCTCAGGTTCCACCCCCTCTCCCCCACCCCCCATCCCGGAAATCCCAAACCTAGCCAGCAGCTGTCAGAGAGAGAGAGCCAACAGTTTCTGGGAGCCCTGCCAGATAGTGACTAAATGGATTTGTTTTCTCTGTGGATCTTAGTTTCCAGAGTTTAGCCAATCAAAGTATGGTTGCAGCAAACAGCCCTAAATATACGTCCTTAGATGCCTCTGCCTTGTTTTCATAAATGGATTCCCAAAAGCAGGACATCCAGTGCACAGGATCTGGACGGTTTTGATTTTATCTCACCTGAAATTATAGTTTTCATAGGATTGCAATTCACAGTCTCGGGAGCAGCATGTCTAAGTGCTCTGGTCCTTCGCTTCCTCGCCAGCACAGGATGTTAGCACTCCTTTAATTTTAATTTTATGAGAACTGGGTGGTGGGGAGGAGAAATGTGTTTCAATTACAGTTCTTAATTATCACGGTTTCAATGTCTTTTCATCTGTTTACTGGTGTTGGGATTTTCACTTCATTGGGTGTTCAACTTAGTTGCTTGTTTTTTTTTTTAAAGATTTTATTTATTTAATTTTAGAGTGGAAAGGGAGAAGGAAAGAGAGGGAGAGAAGCATCAATGTGTGGTTGCCTCTCACATGCCTCCTACTGGGGACATGGCCTGAAACCCAGGCATATGCCCTAACTGGGAATCGAACCAGTGACCCTTTGGTTCGTAGGCTGGCACTCAATCCACTGAGCCACACCAGCCAGGGCTAGTTGCTTGTTTTTAAGTTAGTTAGCCTTTTCCTCTGTGGAAGCTTTGTAGATTATATTTATGTAGTAAGAGTTATATATTTCTTTGCCATATGTAGTATTTCTTAAAAGAACAACACGATTTTCTCCAGACTATCAATTTGCCCCTTTATGGTATTATTTTTCATCCCACTATTTACACACTAGATGACCTTTTCCTTTCTGGCTTTAGGACGCTCACTGCCTCTAAGCATGGTATACAATATACAAGGTTCTCCTTCCTCTTGAAATACTTCTATCTCCTTGCCTACCCTGACATCTTTCACCCATCTTGTCTACAGAGTGTCTTCTTCCAGATGGAGATCTTACCCACGGTGTTAGCAATGATGTAAAATCATCCAGTCCTTTCCACCCTGACTTGAAATCTGTCTTCTGTCCTATCTACACATACCGGGATCTGTTTCTAGGTTGCCTCTTCCATCCCAGGGGTGACTGTTCTCCTGTTCAGGACACATGTACTGCTTTTAGAATCAGGAGGAAATGTTTGTTTGTTTGTTTGTTTGTTTTTCAGTAGCAATTCCTTTGGAACCACTGCACAGCCCAGGCAGGAGCAGAAACACTGGGCAGCCTGGAGGCCCAGCGGAAGGGAGACCCCCCCTGCCCCCACCTTCTGAGTGGAAGGGAGCTCCCCTCCAACCAGGAGGCCAGATTGAGGAGGGGAGAAATAGGAAGGACCCAGCTGCTTGTAAAATAAAGTCTTCCCTTTTATTTCAAATCAACCCATTCCCAAGTTAGTGCCACAAGGTGAGATCAGGGACCCTGAGCCCACCAGTGCATGGTGGGTGGGAGGGCACACATGTCTCTTCAAGGATGGCCCTGGTGGCCAAGGAGAAGGGCGTCCCCTCTCCGGCCAGCCCGGGGGCCCTGGCCTGCCCCTGTCCCACCATCAGCCCTCTCTCAGGGCAAAGGGCACAGAGAGAGAGGACAGGGCAGGAAGGCAGTCCTGTTTGGGGTGTCCGTGGCCAGGGGTGGTGTTAGTGGTGGGAGCCCAGTGAGGTTGGGTTAGTGGGGTCTTCTCTGGCCGCCAGGGAAGGAACTGCAGAGGGAGACAGAAACAGGGCACCGGATGCTGGGGGGAAGGCCACCACAATGCCCAGACTGGGAGAGGAGGAGGGCAGAGGCCATCTTGGAGAGCTGGGGTGTTACTTTGGCAACTCACCGGGGAGGAGGGGCTGGCTCCCGTCGGACGTGGAGAAGGGGCTCAGATAGATGACTGCCACTGCACAAAGCGCTTGGATTCCTGTGGGGGATTTGGAGTCAGAGGAGGGCATGACATGGGAGTCTGGCTCAGTCATGTGGGCCCCTCAGCCTCCTCCCTCGAACCCAGGAGTCCAGGCCTCCAGCCCCTCCTCCCTCCAACCCAGGAGTCCAGGACCCTAGCTCCTCCTCCCTCAGACTCAGGGATCCAGTACCTGAGGGTTGAAAGGGTCGTCATCGTCTGTGTCATCATAGTCGTCACTGGGGTGCAATGGGGGCAGTGGCAGAGAAGCAGGATGGGGGAATCCATCAGGAGGCTGGTCCCTCAGTGGCCACCACCCCTGCCAGCTTCCCCTCCCCCCTCCTCTCTCCCCTCCTGACCTGGGTGGGAACAGGGCCCAGGCGCGAGGCAGGCTGCAGAGGGTGGTGGCCAGGGCTCCCGCCGACAGGAGGGAGAAGAGCAGCAGGAAGAGCAGGCCTTCCAGGGCGTCTTCACATAGGCCGCGCAGGGCTGCGCCATAATCCTGGGTGGGTGGGGAGGGCATCAGTGGGTGGTGTCCCCTCCCTGTATGTCCTGTGCACCACTCAGACTGTCCTCCCGGCTGTGCAATGCTGGGCAAGTCACTCAGCCTCTCTGTGCCTCAGTTTCCTCACTGTCACACATGCTCAGCACACAGTAGGTGCTGTGGTCACTGTCATTATTACACCCACAGGTATGACCTCAAATCTCAGCCTCCCATGGGTCACTGAGAACCCCCCCACCCCATCCCCCACCCAGCAGATGCCAGTAGCACCTCCTCAGCTGTGACAACCAGACATATCCCCACACATTGCCCAGTGTTCCCTGGGCAAAACCGCTGGTCTTGGACAACACCTAGGATAACACTTAGAAGACCCCCTGTGTTGGAATTGCACCTTGTACATCACACACACTTGGTAAATCCAGCTGTTATCCCTGGAAATCATCAGGACCCCCCTTTACTGACTGCTTGGCCATCATGTATTTATTAGTGAGGACTGGCCAGGGGCCTGCCCTGAGCCTGCCCCACTGCAGGTTCTGGGAGACTTCAGTAACCAGCTTCTGCCCCCCCCCCCTCGCTGCAGCTGCCAAGAGAGGCAGTCTTGGGGCCCCACAGCCCAGATGGCACCAGCAGGAAGGAGCTGGGCCCAGGGGAGGTCTGGAGCGCTGAGACAGGATGCAGGCTGCTGTGACATCTCTGAGGAAGGGACGCAAGGGGCAAGACTGCAGACCAGGCAGGGCCAACCACACAGTCCCTGTGCAGGTCCCGCCCGAGAAGCAGAGACTGTTAATCTGCTGCGTGCAGGGGAATCCCTGGTGGGTTTAAGGTGGAGGAAGACCTTGATCGGATTGTGTTTAAAAGGCTGACCCAGCTGTTGGCTGTTGCTGGGAGAGCTGATGGGGACAGGAAGTGAGGGGGGTGGGGACAGGGAGGAGTCTCTGGCTGTGGGGCGGGAGGTGAACTGAGTGAGAACCAGGGTTGCAGCAGTGGGGATGTGTCCCTGGCACTCAGACTCCGGAGGGGTTTCAGAGGGAGGGCTGAAACATAGTTGTGGGAAGTGAGGACAAGAGAAAAAGGGATTTCCTGGGTTTCTGGCTTGAGCCCCTGCATGGGGGGGGGTCAGGATGGGGTGCCTGGTACTGAGCCAGTGAAGCCCAAGGGAGGTGCCCGTCAGGGCATTGGGGTTCTGCGGCGACAAGATCAGACACCCACGATGTCGTTTCATTCCCCTAACAGCTGTACAAAGGCAGAGCTCACGCTGCTGACTTCTGCAATGGCAGAATGGGCAAGCTGCTGGTCCAGACTCACACAGCCTGGAAGGGGCAGAGCTGGGACTGGCCCCAGGTCTGTCAGGCTTCAGAGCCCACCTTCCTGCCATGTCGTCCCTGAGCTCCCACATCCTGATTTTAATACAGGGGACCCTGAAGTCCAGATGGGGAAACAGGCTCTCATGATGATGCATGAGTGGACCACAGGGAGTCTGAGTCGCCCTCCTCCTCCCTCCCTTTCCTCCCTCATGAGGACCCCCGGGCTGTACTCCAGCCCACTGTCCATCTGGACCACAGAGAAATGTGAGGGCTATTTGAATAAAGAGCGGCGTGGCCTTCCAGCACATCCCACCTTTCTCAGCTCTGGTATTCAGCAGCTCTGACTATTGACTCAGTGCTGCCCCCATGCCCCATCGTTAGAGTGCCAGTTTCAGAAATTCGGGGGCAGTGGGAGCCATGGATGGGATCTGAACATGGCAAGGAGCAGCTCAGACTCGTCCTGTGGGACTGACGGGTCCCTCTGGGGGTCAGGTTGCCAGGTCCGACACAGGACACCCAGTTAGATTTGAATTTCAGATGCCCCATAGCAACAAAAACCTAGTACAGGTGTCTCCCCAGTGTGGCTGGGACACAATTAGAGTAAAAAGATACTCGTCATCTGCAGAATCTGGCAGCCTAATCAAGAGCCCATCTGGGCACAGACAGGGAAGGAAAGGAGGTGTGTGTCCTCAGGCCTGAACTGCAGCAGGCTCTTGGGGTTGGGGGGCTGGGGAGAGGGTGTCAGACAGTGGATGAGGACAGTCAGGAAGCAGAAGGGACAAGGCTGGGTGACTGCCCGGCTGTGGGGGCTAGGAGAATGAGAGAGGTGAGGACCCCGTGTATGGGCCAGCAGGGCGATCCAGCCCTGTGGACCTTACAACCCAAGTCTGTAAGACAGACAATAACAGCTGTTCCTTCCCGACAGCATTACTAGCGAGGGCTCGCTGAGACCCCAGAGCCCACAGTTAGTAAAGCCCACGCATGCACAGGGGGAAGGCTGATTTTCTCCTGAGCCCTCACAACCACCCAGTAAAGCAGGTCCCCTCTCCCTCATTTCACAGGGAAGGAAACCGAGCTTCAGGGACACATGCCTGCCAGGGGCCACGCAGCCCAGGTCGGAGCCCAGACTGGAAGGAGTCTGCGGGACACCGGGCTCTCTTTCTCCTGGGTGTCCTGCCCACCCCTGCCTCAGACGATGACAGCACGCACTCCACGAGGGCTTCACAGGTATTCACCCCCGAATCCTGGTTTTATAAGTGAGGAAACTGAGGCACAGGGACTTGCCTGAGGTCAGGAGCTAGGACTGGAACCCAGGCAGTCTCGCTCCGGAATTGACTAAGAAGCACAGCCTTTGGGAGGGAAGGAGGGACGAGGAGGAGGAGAAGAGAAGAGGTAGTCTTGGAGACATTGTCTTGGGGACAATGGGAAAAAGAACGGCAGGGTTCGAGGAGAAGAAGGACCTTCAGGGTCTAATCGGAGTCTCCCCGTGAGGATAATTTGGGGAGGGCCAGGAGTCACCTTGTGCAAGCTTCGACAGTGCAGTAGGGCCACCAGCTGGTGGAAGTTTCCTTCAGTCACATTTAACGTCTCCTCCAAAGACAGCAGAGGTTTCTGCGGTAAGAGCGGTGTGGTTATCCCACCGACTCCTTCCGTCAGTTGGTTGCGGGGCCCCGCCCATCTCTTCAGGCCCCGCCCACACAGACGGACCACACCCCCTTATTTTGGCTCTGCTCAGGACCACCCACCCCTCTTCCTGGCCCCGCCCACACTTCAGGACCACGGCCCACCACAGCCCCACCCATACCTGTCCCAAGGCCACGCCCGTCGACCCTCTCTTTCCCAGGCCCGCCCACATCCCAAGACCACACCCCTTAATTTCTATGGCCACGCCCAAAGACTCGCTCATTCCGTGGGCTCCGCCCACACCACTGGTCTGTCCCGGCCCTTGCCCTGGGAGCTGGGGTGTAGGGGGTCCGCCGACCTGTGCGGAAGGGAACTGGGGCACAGCTTCTCGCTCCAGGCCCTGCAGCTGGGAGTGGATGTTGGCCAGAGCTCGCTGGGACAGCGTCAGCCTCTGCAGGACACAGGGCACGAGGAGTACCCAATGGCCCATGCCCCCAGCCCACTCCTCTCTCAGGACACAGAACTGGGGGCTCCTTGCTCCTCCCTCAGGACCCCTAAGTCCAGGCTCCAGCCCCGCCCTCCCCCACCCCGTTCCCTGGCCCGCAGCCCTAACCTGTTGAAAGGGGTTGGAGACGGCCTGGTTGCAGAGGAAATAATAGTTCAGGATGTCTACGGGGGTGGGGGAAAAGGAGAGGTCGTGAGCCGGGGTGGGCCTCCGTTGGGAGGCAGGGGAGGCGTTGGGGGCAGGGCCCTGTCTTTCCACCCTCAGAGCCAGGGGCTCTCCCCAGCTCAGGACACGCCTGTGGTCCCAGTGGCCTGGCATTCTGAGACTGGCCAGTCGCCCAGCCGGGAGAAGCTTCTGCTCTGGCCACAGCCCCAAAACACGCTGGTCTCCACACTCTCTGGGACCCCCTGCTTCTGAGGTGGTCTGCTTGACTACATTGTGCTGCCCCCAGTTGCCCCAAGTGGCCAAACCCTCCATCCCTCAGGCCTCGCCCCCTCTCTGGAGCCCATCATCTTTACCCCCCTGTCTTTTTCAGCCCACCCAGGAGGTGCTGAGAGCTTCAGGGACAGGGCAGCCTGGCCGCCTCTGGGCACTCCCACCCCACCCCAGGCAGAACTGAGCACAGAGGCCTGTGTGCCCTAGACCAGTGGGCTCACCTGAGCCAAGCCCAGTCTCCTCCTGGGTCAGGTTCAGGACGTAGATGTCTGGACTGGAGCAGAAGTCACTGAGGCCCTGAGAGAGGCAGAGGGAAAGGGGGCTCAGACCATAAACTGTCCCAATGACACACTCCCACGGACTCAGTGCCCCCAGCCTCCTCCCTCAGACCCAGGAGCCCAGGCCCCCAGCCCCTTCAGGACCTAGAACCTGTGACCCAGGCCCCCATGTCCTTTCTCTCAGGACCAAAGGCACCAGCCCCACACCTGCCCCAGGGCCCTGCACTCACCACAGCTGTAGCTGCCTCCAGGCCCAGGGAGCCCCAGCTCAGGACGAGAACCACAAGACTCATCACAGTCATCCTGTGGGGGCAGGGACTGGACTTGAGGTTCTGAATCTTTCCACTTTGCCTCTTCCCTTCCCCCACCCCAGGTCCCATCACAGCTCTACCCCCAACCTCTGGAACCCAGAGGGTCAGAATTAGGGGCAGAGACATTGGAGCGGGGCATGGACCTGTGGTTGCTGACATCAAATTGAACATCTGGTCCCTGCCCCGGGTGGAGTTGAGGGGCAGGGGTGGACAGTGAGAAGGGCCCTGGGCTGGCAGGACTCAGCCCACTCTGCCTCATCTTCTCTGGGACTCTGGGGGGGCCACTGCCCAGCGCTGGGCCCCATGTCCCAGATTTGAATTCCTCAGAACCCTGTTTTTGCCAAGCACACTCTCAGGTTCTCTCTTGGTTAGCCACCTGCTCACCCAGGCTCCTCCTTCCAGGAGTGCAGCTCCAGGGCTGAAATTGCCTCCTGGTTTTTCCCTGGGGATGGGGTTTGTAGGGCTAGGACAGGAGGGTGGGCAGCAAGCAAGAAAGGCAACTGGTTGGTGGGGGTGGGGGCAAACCAAGGTCCCTGGGCCCGACCATGGCTCAGACCAGCTGGGGCCATGTTTCGTCATCTCCAAGCCTCTGGGGGGGCCAGGGGGCATGGGTGGGTGGGACAACAGGACCTGTCATCCCAGAAGGAGTGGGGGGATGACAATGGGCAGCACCAGTGCCATCGCATCCCCCAACCACCACCCCAGGGACAGGGAGGAGGCCAGGGCTCCTCCCAATGGGACAGGCTGGCCTGAGTTGACTCTGGCACCAGCACTTCCTGGCTGGGCAGCCCTGGGCAAGTGGCCCGACCACTCTGTGCCCCAATCTCCCCCTCGGTTAAATGGAAGGAAAGCGCCTCCCAGCGGGATCGGTGGGAGGGTTCCAGAAGAACATGGGGTGTGTGGAAGGAGCCCCAGTGCCACGTCATGGCCAAGCAGCCTCAGACATGGTCGCCTCCTGCCTCTGGTCCCTCATCTGCCCGACTGGCTCCTGGCAGACACCTCCTTCGCAGGTTGTGGTGACGGTTGAAGGAGTCGGCCCTCCTGACATGGCCCTCCTCGGATGTCAGTGCTCACTGCCATCCTCGGCAGCAGCATCATTCCATAGGCAAGCTAGGATTTCCCGCACTTCCCACTGCAAGGAGGCCCAGCCTGGGGCGACGTTCTGTAGAGGGCATGGGGGTCCATGGGACAAAGAAATGACTCCATGGGAGCCCAGGGGGGACCCGTGGCCCCTTTCTCAAGAATGCTGTGGGGTGGCACTCAGGCCCCTGCGCTGTGACAGGAGCCTGCTGAGGGAGCCCAGACTCACACAATCACCAGCCACTTGCTCTGCTTCGCCAGGCCCAGCAGGGTGAAGAGGCAGACCAGCAGCTCCAGGAGCAGCAGGAGGACGTAGGCCAGCCACCTGGGGAGGGGGCGGAGGGGACAGCAGGGGGGTGAAGGTCAAGCAGCAAATCCAGCCTTCCAGAGCTCAGGCCCCAGAGTCTACCTGGACACCAATCCCTGTCACCAGGTCTGACCTCAGGCCACAGCCCAGCTCATCTGTGAAATGAGTGTACTGGGAGGCGGGCCACCCTCGCCTTCTATAAAGAGCACAGGTCCCAGGGTCAGAGCAGCTGGGACCATACTGACTGGACCAAGCACCAGCTCTGTGACCTGTGACCTTGCACATGTGATCTGACCTCAGAGCCCAGCCCCCCGCCCTACCTGCAGAGAGGAGCACCCAGCACCATGTTGTACGACCTAAGGGTGCGGTGGATCTGCAGGCAGGCTGCCTGAGTCTCCACTCTTTAGCCCTGTATAACTTAGTCTCAGTAACTCTGCCTCTTGTGCCTCAGTTTCTCCACCTGTTACGGGGGTGGTAAACAGCAGCACCTGCTTCCGGAGGCTGCTGTGAGGCTGATGAGTGAGGGCACAGGCACGTGGACACACTTAAATCCCAGCTTGAATATGAGTAAGGGAACTTTAAGTGTTAATTAGTGATTCAGTACCAGCCAATAAACAATGTACTCCGGAGAGGAGAGTGTATGTGAGGCCACAGCACAGGCTGGCCATGTCATCAGTGCTCCATAAATAGCATGCTCCAGGGGCCCCATGTTGCTGTGCAGGAGCTGGGGTCCCTGAGTGGTCCCAGGTGGCCTCCAGGCCTTTGCTTTGCAAATGCCCACTGCCAGCTCATGCCACCAGCTTTGGGCAGGTGGCCAGTCCTGCTCTAAGCACTGGCCGTGAACATCTGCTGTTAAACCTCAGCAAACTCTGCCAGCAAAGCCTCCCCCCGTCCAGGCCGACTTCCTTCGAGGAAGCTGGCCCCGTTGTTTGAGGGACTGGAAAGTGCCAGGCACTCCAGGGCTTTTTCCTGTTGCTGGTGGGTCCGCCTCACCTTGGCGTGGTCTGCAGGGTGACCGCAGCCAACCTGGGAGGGGTGGAGGCCAGCCTGTGTGGTCCCTGGTCTTGCCCACCACGGAGAACCTGGACTTGCTGTGACTCAGGTGTGTCTGAGACCCTGTGAGGCATCCCTTAGGGCCTGCTTCAGCCCTGTCTACCTCAAGTCTCCCATCTCTGCCCCCTCACCTGGGCCGGGCCCTCAGAGGGTGTCTTTTTGGATGAGTGAGAGAAATAACTCTTAGTGGATGAAGTAACGAGGACTTCATCACGGTGGCTGTCCCAGAAGTCTGTCTAACTTGTTCTGTCCCCTCCTTCACATGGCACCTTCTCAGTGTGGCCTTCCGGACCCCCCACTCAAGCTGTCAGCTTCTGTCCACAGCGCACGCCACCCCCCACCCCTTAATGTTCTCCAAAGCTCTGTCCACCCAGTGCATCAGGACATTCAATAACTGGTCCCCCCTCTGGAAAACAGCGGAAATCCCTCTCTGCTTCATTTATTACCCTTGGCAGGAGTCCCTCTCTGCTTTGTTCCTTGCTGTATGTTATAAAAACCTACATTTTACAAACACCTGTATAATGCGTGCTAGTCACTTGACAGATGCCAACTCACTGGAACCTCAACAATCTAATAAGCGGGGGAGGGGCGCTATCCTTTATTCCCATTTCACAGATGGGGACATGGAGGCACGGAGCTGGAGAGGAATGGGTTAAGGTCGTGTGGTTACAGACTGGCCATCTGGCTTCAGAGCGCATGCCCCTAGCCATGTGGGTTGCCAGTCTCTCTCACCAAAAGGTGCTAAATAAGACTTTGTTGAATGGACACAGGTGTCAAATGGACGGCTGAGGGAGTGAACTCCTTAACAGGTTATCCAGAAATGAGGAAGTACAAGAGTGAATTAATGAATGTGGGAGTCAAGGAATGGATGAATGAATGAATGAATAAATGGGGGGACTGTGTAATGGATGAGTAGCTGGTGTGAGGGTGGGCACCACTTGGTCCAGCTCTGGACAGCAGGGGTTCTCAGCCTGGTTACTGCTGACAGAACAGACCCTCCTTGCTGTGAGGACCATCCTCAGAACTGCAGGGTGTAAAGCAGCATCCCTGGCCTCCACCCACCAGGTGCCCAGTTGTGACGACCAATTGTGTCTCAACTCAGATGTCACCCAATGCCCATGGGGCACAACCCCCCAGGCTGAAAACCCCTGCCACAGAGTAAGAAGTTTGGTCACCCACCTGTATTCCTCCACAAAGGACACATCTTCGGCCACCTGCAGAGGGCTCAGGGGCACCCCCTGCCAGAAGGCCAGCCCCTGGAGCTGCTGGGCCACAACCTCTGCCTGCCGCCGAGCCCCCCGGGTGGCAGCCACCAGCTCTGTACGCTGTGTCAGCACCTCCTCCAGGGTGGTCAGCTCTGTCCTCACCGCCTCCTCCAGCCTCTCCACCATCTCTAGCACCTGGGTGCAGGGGTGGGTCTGGGGTCAGGGGAGGGCATTCCCATGGGGCCCAGGGGCAGGGGATGGGGTTGTGAAATAGGAAGGAGCAACAGCAGGTGTCTGATATCTGGGGCTTGGGTATCTGTGACCAAGGCAGGGATAGAGGGGGCTCTCTGGTCCCCTCCTGTGGCCTCCGTCGGGAGCTCTGCGTGGTCAGTGGCTTGAACCAACCCCAGCTGGAGGATTCAGTCTGGGGTCCTGGGTCTGACTGTTCGTTCACATCTGACTTTCTGAGTCTGGGGTCTTGTCTGTGTTCCATGGTCCAGGGCCTGCCCAGGACATGAATTCTGAGGTCTGAGTTCAAGCTGGGGCTGGGGATGAGGCCTCTGGTCTGGGCCCTGGGATCTTGACACTGAGACCAAGTTTGCACTGGGGCCAAGCATCAGGTCTCGGGGCAGGGGAGGGTCACTGGTGTTTGCTCTCCATCTAGTTCCGGCTCTAAGTTAAAGTCCAGGGCTGTGGCTGGGGGTGTGTGTGGGGTCTGGGTTTGAGCCCCAAGTCCCAGATCTGGAGTGTGGTTTGGAGAGAGTCTCATGTGAGGCTTGGATTTGCATTCAGGGTTGGGGGGTTGGTGGTACAGTCTGAATCTTAAATTCTGAGCCTGGGGTCCTAAATTTTAGGTCTCAAGTCTTGGCTCTGGAGTTTGGATTCCGTTTCCCTGGAATGGGGGCCCTTGGCCCCGGAATGTGGGGAACCAGTGTGGAGGTGATGGGGTGGGATCTGGCCGCTGCCTGCCGGCCCCTCACCAGGTGGTCAATGGCGCTGAGCGTGTGGTTGGCGTGCACCAGTGCGGAGCTGAGCTGGGCCACCCCATCACTGGTCTCGCTGTTGCCATAGAAACCGATGCCAATGCCCGCGCTGTGAGAAGGAGGGACAGGGAATCACAACGGGTCCTGGGACCCCGGGGGCCGCCGTCCCCCACCCCCTCACACACCCATTCCCGCCTCCCACCCTGCCCCCACCCTATTGGGCGAGCCCATCGTGGGAAAAGAACCTCTCCAGGCTAGCCCCCACCGGTTGCCACGGTAACGGGAAGGCCTCACTCCCCCGGCCGAGGGACGTCATTGTGATGCTAATGGTAGGTGGAGTGGAGAGGGGAGGGTACCCCAGATTTAACTCGCGCCTCACCGGAGCGGAACCCCTGCCCCGCCCAGCCCCAGGATGGCCAGTGTTCCCCACACCCATGACAGCTGCGTCTCCTCCACCCTTTCCTAAGTATCCAGGGTCCTCAGCACCTGTCCCTTCCAGTCCAGCCGTCCCCCCCCCCCCACACCCTGGGGTTTCCCAGGAGTTCAGGCTCCCAGCCACCATCTCCTGGGGGACCTGAGCCTGGAGCTCCCGGCCACCCCCCCCCCCTCACCCGCGGGACCCAAGCTTCTGGCCAGCTGGGAGCCAAGCAAGGGATTGTGGGCGCCCCCGCCCCTCCGCGGCCAGCACACAGAGCTCCATTGTGGGGCCTGAATGGCCCTTACCCCCCACTCCAGTGTGTCCCTCCGCGGAGGGGTCGGGGCCAGACAGCGAAGGAGGGAGCGGGACGCCCTCCCAGTTCCCAGCCGCCGCGCAGGCTCCCGCCCCCAGCCCTGGGACCCGACGCCCGCGCGCGCCCCCGCCCATTGTCCACAGTTCCACAAAGCCGCTCTTGTTCCCTGGCCGCGGGGGCCGGCCGTGTCTCTCCCCCACCGGGCCTTTGTCCGCCTGCCCCGTCCACCCCCACTCAGGAGGGCCTCGAGAGGAAGCATCTTGGACGCAGGCCGCTCAGCCGCCGCCTCCACAAACACCCCCAAGCACATACACTGCGCCAGGAGGTGATGGAGTGGCCACGGTCGCGGGTGGGAGTGCCGGCTTCCGGGCCACTCCCCCGGTCCAGGCAGGTCTCTCGGGGCCCTAATCTGTGCGATAGGACAGCTGCCCTGTCCTAGTGTGTGTGCATGGGTGGGGGTTGGGGGGCTGCCGGGAGGGCTGTGCTGGAAGCTGGCCCTTGGTTTTGGTGTGCAAAACGCTCCCCTCCTCCGCCCCTGGGGGTGTCCCAGAAGCTCCCAGGGGTTCGAGGCCCTGAATCCCCACTCTGCTGCTTGGACCACGTGGCCTGGCTGGTTCCCCTGAATCTTCCTTTTTCAAAACTTGGAGTGACATCCCTGAGTCCAGCAGGGTTACATCGGGTGAGCAAGACCAGAGTTATTGTCTGTCTCCCAGACCAGAACCTCTGCGCCCTGAGGGCAGTGACCAGCCAGGCTTGGTCACTATTCTCTGGCACATAGTAGGTACTCAAGGAGTGGTTGTTGAATGAATGAATGAATTCATGAATTTACTGGGAGTACAGATGTGAGCTGGGCCCTGTATTTAACCTCTCATTCAACCTTATCACTAGGAGGTGAGTGTTAACGTAATACCCATTTTAGAGATGTGGCAACTGAGGGGAGGGGCACTATATTGCTTCCCCAGGTGGCACAGCCATTCAGTGGCAGAGCACCAAACCGAGGCAGTCTCACTGCCCAGCTCTTCACCCCAACCCTGTCCTGCCAGGGCAGCTGCCCTGGGAAAGTCAAGTGTCTTGAACCTCAGTTTCTCCATCCATCAAATGGGGACAACTTTGCTTGTGGCTGAAGTGGGATTCTAGGACACTACAGGAAGCCTGACAGAGCTTGGGGAACCCTGTCCCCACTCCCCCACCCACCCTGGGGCCCCATTACCAGCCGACGAGAAGAGCAGCGATGCAGCTCCAGGTGACACAGCCTCCCCCGGGTGGGGGGCTCTTGGTGCCGGGGGGCTCGGGGGGCCGGCAGCAGCAGACTCGGATGAGGTAGGCAGCAATGAGAATGAGGCTGAGGCCCAGACCCAGGCCGGCCAAGGCTGCCACCAGCAACAGGGCCTGGGGAAGGGAGGACATGGGGCCTCAGAGGGGCTCGGGCTCCATCTCAGCTCCGCTGGAGGGTGGCACCCAGGGTCTCAGCGGTGGAGGGAGACATCCCTCCAGACTGGGGGCCAAGTCCACCCTGGGATAACAGGTTTGTGGGGAGAGATGGGGTCCCCAGCCCCCCAGGCTGGAGGCTGGGACTCTGTGATTTGGAACTGGGTCAATGGGAGGCCCAAGTTTTGGGTTCTAGTTCTACTTGGCCCACCCACGGCTGTTTGGTGTTCGGCAGGGCCCTGCCCCTCTCTGAGTCTCAGGTTTCTCCTCAACCAGGTAGTCGGATGGAGCATCTCTCAGGACTGAAACCCAGAACAGCGGGATCTGGGAGTGGATGGGGGCTCCTCTTCCTGGAGATGTGTGTGAGGCTGGGGGTGGCGGGCTTCTCCCCTCCTCCCTGCTGGTCCACCCCACTCGCTGCTCACTCTCTGTCCCCTGCTGCTGAGCTCTGCACACCCACCACAGTGTGAGTCTGTCACCCAGGGACTCATGGGGAGGGGGTGTGACAGCCTCGCAGAGGGAGAGAGAGAGAGTGTAAGACTCAGAGATGGAGACTGAGAGAGTGAAGACAGAGCAGGGGGCAGGAGGGCGGCAGGCTCAGAGAGAGATGGGAAGTAGAGACTCAAAGACAGGAGAGGTAGACAGAGACAGAGATGGAGAGAGACCCAAAGGGTGGAAGGATGGAGGGAGGGAGGGAGGGAAAGTGTGTCTGTGATTAGAAGCGGGGGGTGGGGTTTCTCCATGACGCAGGACTTTACAGGGGAGGCATTACAGTCTTGTCATCTCCATAGATGCTCAGAGTGGGGCGGGGCTTCACCTGGAGCCACACAGCATGGTAGGGACAACATCAGGGACAGAATCAGACTTCTGGACTTACTCATGCTGTTTCCCCTAAACCAGTGTCTCTGTGTTTGTGCTCACAGTGCTGTGTGTGAGCGTGTGACGAGTTTGTGGAGTGTTTGTGTTTCTGGCTGTGTGACAGATGTGTTATCTCTGACTGAGTTTGTCTGTCATGGGATAATACACCTAAGTGTGTGTGTGTGCATGCACGTGTGAGTATATGTGTGTCTCTATGAGAGCACCTGTATCTGCAAGTGTGAGAGAGTGACATGGGGGCATCTCTGTGTTTCTGGCACAATTCCCTTCATCTCAGTGGGTCTCTCAGGTGGTGTGTGTGAGAGAGAGAGAAAAAGAGTAAGTGTGTGAGTGTGGGTGGGTGTCATGTATCAATGGGAGCATGAGTGTGCAAATGTGTATGTGAGCATGTGTGTGTATGTGTGTGACTGAGTGCAAGAATGCGTGTGTATACGTGAAGGTGTGTGTATATGTGAAGGTGTGTGTATATGAGTATATATGTGTTTATATATGCGTACATGTGAGTATGGGTGTGTATGTGTCTGTAGGAGTGTGTGAGTGGTCTGTGAATATGTGTGTGAGAATATGTGTGTGTATTTCCATGTATGCATGTGAATGTATATGTGTCTATGTGAGTGTGAGGGTGTATACATGTGAGCATGAAAATGTGTGTGTGTATGTAGGAGTGTGTGTACAAATGAGTGAGTGTGAGTGTGAATATAGGTGTGTATATGAGTGTGTGTGTGTTGTGTCCCCAGCTCAGGGTCACCAGAGCCCTGATCATTTCCCAGCTGTGCCCACTGTGGTGACCTCCTGGAGGGCAACGTCCCCTCCTGGGGTGTGTGACTCTGTGCCCTCTGGTCTCTGTGCTGTCACCCTGGCTGTAATTGTTGGGGGGGGGTTTAGCCTGCCCAAGTGCCCCAGGCAGTCACGGGGTCTGGGACGTGAGTGGCTGTGTGGGCACCTGCGTGGGACAGTCTCTTTGGCCGTGAGCAGGCATCGGACGGCGTTGGAGGTGGTGGTTGTGTAACAGGGGCTGTGGGACAGGGGCTGCAGTCCCCTTTGGTGGGGAGCGGGCGCGTGCGGGAGGCAGGGAGGAGCTGCTCAGGCTGGCACAGCCGTGACCCAAATAGCTCAGAATACAGCACACATCCCCCTCTCCGCGTTTCTGGGACCCCCCCCCCTTGTGCTAAGCTCTCCAGTTCCCAGCCCTGGTCGCAGCGGCTCCCCAGGACAGATCCAAGGGGTCTAGACCCTACAGGCAGGGCCCAGGACCCATCCTGGGCCCCACCAGGACACCCAGTCCCCCCACCCCATCCGAGGCTCAACCAAGCTTTGCTCATTAAGCTCAAAGTCAAGGACTTCAATTTAACTGGGTCAGAGGACAGTTCTTTGGCCCCTCTTGGAGCTGGCCCAGGCCGGGCCCCCTTCCCCAGAGACCGGGGGTTCAGTAAGTTTCCCACGCCACCCCACCCCACCCTTGGGACCGTGTCTGTCCTCAGCTCCCCAAGCCGAACCTCACCCCCATCTCCCCACCCCGGCCCCTCCAGCACCCTGACCGCCCCTTCTGTCCTGAGAGGGGCTGCAAGCCTCCTCTTCCAACACCTTCATCTCATGTTCCCTGCCCTGGCCCGAATCCCCTCACCCCCTTCCCCGGCTCAGGTCTCAGCCCTGTCCCAGAACCAGAACCCGGGCACCTCCAGCCTTTCTCCTCTCCACCCCTGATCAGCTCCTCTCTCTGGCGCCCCACCTTCAGTGGACTGTCCATCCTATGAGGGAAGGGTCATCTTTTAGGACGCCTAGTCCCCACTGGTGACCCTGAGCGCTAGTCTTCCAGGCAGTTCTCAGAGACCCTGAGATGCAAGGACCCCCATTCTCTTCCCTCCTCGGGGACTCAGGGGTCCAGGCCACTAGTCCTCTCTCATTTAAGCGGCGAGGTGTTTGGTCCCCCCAGCGCCCGTCCCAGGGGAACCTCCAGGAATGGGAGCCCCGCGTGCCTCCTCCTTCAGACACCCCAAAGTCGGGGCCCGGCCCTCACCCTCAGAGAACGCAGGGGTCTGTCACCCAGCGCCCTTCTCTCGCGGGACCCAGAACCACTGGCCCCCAGCCCCCGCGCCCGCTCCCACCTGCTGGTATTCCTGCTCTTGGGGCGCGAAGCCGCTGGGCACCGGACGGAGCTGGAAGTCGGCGCGGGGCAGCTGATGTAGCAGATGCACCCAGGCCGAGGGTCGGTAGCCCGGGGGCTCCCCCATGGCCCCGGGGGAGGGCGCGCGGGGCGGACGCCGGGGCTGCGGGAGCCTCGGTGAGAGAGCGGGGCGCGGGCGGAGCGGGGTCTGGCTGGGCTCTGGGGAGCGCAGCGGGGGGGAGGAAGGGGGCGGGGGGCGGAGATTGGGGGGGTGGAGGCGGGAGGCGCGGGCCGGGCGGGCGTGGTGCTGCCCCTGGCGGCGGCAGTGGGGACTGCGTCGTGGCGGGTGGGCCCCCAGCGTGCCTGCTGCTCCGTGACCGCTCCCACCTGCGGCGCGCGCGCGCAGGTACCGCTCATCCTCGTCCCTAGATGGCCGCTCATGCTGTTAGGTCACCGTACAACCCTCACGTCCGGGCAAAGGTCGCTAGTATCTGCACAGCTTTTTACAAATAATGGCAGTCTGATCAGCAACAACAACAAATCCTCAATTCCCTGTGTCAGCGCGCTCTCACCTGTAAAGTACGCCTCCTTTGGGGTAAAAGCCTCTCCTGCCTAAAAAAAAAAAAAACACAAAAAAACCCAAAAAAAACTGTGTAAGGACACAGCTTCTAAACACCAACTTTCCTCTGAGTGTACAGGCCGCTCCAGAATACCCCTGCATACCCTGGTGAGGACCCCTCGCTTCTGTGTAAGACCCCTCCCACCAGAAGACCCCCCGCATTGTGTCTTCCTAAGGATCCCTCCAAAGGATTGCTCCATGCACTTAAGGATCTCCCTGTGCCTCGCCTCCACACTTTACAGCTTACAGGCACTGCCTATGTTGAGTATCTCAGGAACCCACTGGTGCCACACTGATACCAGGGGAGGTAGAGACCCTCGAAGGGGACCTGCTCACTTGGATGTCACCACCCAGGCAGTCATAGCTGGAGATAAAATAAGGTCCCCAGGAATCTGCCCCAGGGATCTTCCCAGCCCCATGGAGCAGGGCTAGACTTTGCGACTTGTGGTCCCCACACCAGGCGTCTCTTGGGGGGCAGGAGATGGGTGGGAGGAAGAAGGGGCAGTGAGCACTCCACTTGTCTCATTCCAGTGTTTTGTCCCAGATTGGTGCGAAAGGGATGGGCTCATCGCCCATGCCATTACTAGAGAGAGAAATTATGGTGATTGTGGTGGTGGTGATATGATATTGGTGATGGTCCTGATGATGATGGTGATGGTGATGATGATGATGGTAATGGTGATGATGATGATGGTGATGGTGATCATGAGGATAGTGATGGTGATGATGGAGACAAGAAGAGTAACTATAGCTGCCCCCTCACACACACTCATACACACCCCACTCTGTTTTACTCCCCTCAGAAAAAGGTCTCCGTGGATTGAATCTCCCTCTTTGTTTCTCTCTGCTTCGCTCTGGCTCTTTCTCTCGTGCCCAGCTCTTTGTCGCTCTCACACAGGGTTTGGGTCCCAGATGCCTGCATTCTGGTGTCTTTAGAGAATTGCTTTATCCTGCATTGACTAAGCCCAAGGCATCCTTCCTCAGGTACGGGAGACCTGAGATGTTATCTTGTGGAAGTGTGCTGGCTTGCCCTTCTCCTGTCCTTGTTCCCTCTGTCTGTTTCTGCTGGGGAAGACAGATGGTTATTCCAGGGTGGTCTTCGAGCATTTATTTCTAGGAGTTTTATCTGAACACCATTCCAATACCATCTGAAACTTGACAGGTGTTAATTCACGGCTTGGGTGCCTGAGAACCCCCCAGTGGGGGGTGGCTCAGAGCAGCCAATGCCATATGGGGAGAGGGATGCAGCATCGCCAGATGTTCTACATTTCCAAGAGAAGACAGAAATCTGGATATTTTTAAAAGCAAAATCCCTCAGCTCTTAAATGTTAAAACTAATTCAAATTAAAAAAATACTGTGTGGGCCAAATAAAACCTGTCCGTGGGTTGGAGCTGGCTGGTTTGTAAGCTCTGGTCTAGCCAGACGCTGAGCAGCATAGTGTGGATGGGCAAATGGAGGATGGGGGGAGCCCAGAAAGGCTGAGAAGGAGCAGCCAGGGAGGTGGGAGGAAAGCCAGGGAGAGGCAGCAATGCCACCTCCTCCAGGAAGGCTCCCTGACCAGCCTCTCTTGACAGAAAATGGGGCAGGTCCTGGCTCCAGGGCTCAGCATGGGTTCCTGTGACTTTAATTCAGATTTCCCTAAGTGGTTGTGAGTGCATATACTATGAGTAGATTGAGATAATGTTCTAGAGCATAAAACATGAATTGATGATGGCAGAGTCATCAGAACTGTGGTTATAACTGAGAAGGTGGGGACAGAGCTGAGTAGGAAAGGGGTTGAGGGAACTTTTTGGGTGATGGCATTGTTCTGTATCTTGATACAGGTTTTGGCTGTCCAGGGGTCTGCATTTATAGTACACTTAAGATTTGTGCATTTTATGACAAATTTTACCTCAAAAGAAAAATAAGAACTCCCAGTTAATGGTATGCATGCTTAAGATTGGGGGTGGGGAAGTATAGTGGTGTCTATAGTTTCCTTCAAAAATAACATAAGCCCTGGCTGGTGTAGCTCAGTGGATTGAATGCTGGTCTGGGAACCAAAGGGTCACTAGTTCAATTCCCAGTCAGGGCACATGCCTAGGTTGCAGGCCAGGTCCCCAGTAGGAGGTGCGTGAGAAGCAACCACACATCGATGTTTCTCTCCCTCTCCCCCCCTCCCCCTCTCTCTAAAACTAATAAATAGAATCTTTTAAAAATAATATAAGATGGATTGACAGAAAGGTACATATGTAATAAAGCAAAATATAAGTGGTAGAGTCTAGGTGTTGGGGACCTAGGTATTCCTATAATATTCTATTTTTTTCAGCTTTATTGAGATACAACTATATGTAACACTGTGTAAGTTTAAGGTATACAAAGTGATGATTGGATGCATGTATATATTGCAAAATGATTGCCACAGAAAGTTAACATGCATATTACCTCACATAGTTACCTTTTCACATGTCTGTGGTGAGGACTTGCAAAATCTACTCTCTTAGCAACTTTCAAGTACACAATACAGTATTCTTTTTTCCTTTTTTTTAAAATTGTATTTATTTATTTTTAGAGAGAAGAGAAGGGTGGGAGAAAGAGAGGGAGAGAAACATCAATGTGTGGTTGCCTCTCACACACCCGCCACTGGGGACCTGGCCTGCAACCTAGGCATGTGCCCTGACTGGGAATCAAACTGGGGACCCTTTGGTTTGCAGGCTGGTGCTCAATCCAGTGAGCTACACCAGCCAGGGCTCACTGTGGTACAGTATTCTTAACTCTAGTCCCCAGAACTCATTCATCTTATAACTGGAAGCTTGTGCCATTTTGATCAACTCCATCTACTATTCTCCATGCCTGGTAACTAGGAATCTGTTCTCTAATTTTATGTTGTGTTTTTTTTTTTTATTTTACATGTAAGTAAAATCATACAGTATTTGTCTTTTTCTCTAGAACTTATTTCACTTTAACATAGTAGCCTCTAGTTCCATCCGTGTTGTTGAAAATGGCAGGAGTTCCTACTTTTTATGACCAAGTAATATTTCCTATTGTGTGTGAATATCTCATTTTCTTTATTTATTCATCTATGGGCAGACACTTAGGTTGTTTTCATACTTTGGCTATTGTGAATAATGCTGCGATGAACATGGGTTGTAGAAATCTCTTCGAGATAATGATTTCAATTCCTTTGGATAAATCCCTAGGAGTGGAATTGCTGAGTCAAAAGGCAGTTCTATTTTTAATTTTTTGAGGAACCTCCATACTGTTTTCCACAGGGACTGCACCAGTCTGCATTCCCACCCACAGTGCACATGGGTTCCCTTTTCTCCACATCCTCGCCAGCTCTTGTCATTGGTTGATTTGCTGATGATAATCATTCTGGCAGGTGTGACATATCATTGTGGTTTGAATTTGCATCTGTCTGAGGATTACTGACATTGAGCATCTTTACATTTGTCTGCTGGCCATCAGTGTGTCATCTTTGGAGAAGTGTCTATTCAGGTCCTTTGCTGATTTTATAATTAGATTATTTGTCCTTTTTCACTGTAATATTCTTTTAATGTTTTTGTATGTTCAAAATTTTTCATAGTAAAATGTTGAGAGAAGGGGCAGAGTATATTTAGAGAAATGAAATAGATCAAGTAGTATTGGATTGTAAACCAAATATAAAGAAATATATCCACAGCTCCAAAATGATACATATAATTGACTGAATAAAGTAATAAATGGGAGAGAACAGACAACTCTCCGATGCAGAAGAATTCCAAATAATTCACATGAATATTCTTCCCTTGAGGACATGGAGAGTAATTCCTGACTACAGAACAGCATGCTCAAGGGGCAAAAACTAAAAACCTTTCCCTTAAGATCAGGAACAAGATGGGGATGTCTGCTTTCACCACTCTTATTCGACATATTGGTGGATCACCACAGTGGGGAAGTCCTAGTCATAGCAATCAGACAAGAAGAAGAAATTAAAGGCACCCAAATTGGAAAGGAGAGGTAAAATGTTCATTATTTACAGGTGGCATGATACTGTATGTAGAGAACCCTAAGGATTCCACATACACACACACACACACACACACACACACACACACAAACCCAACTACTAGAACTGACCATAAAATCCATAAAGTAGCAGGATACAAAATAAATATCCAAAATTCAATTGCATTTCTATATACCAATAATGAACTCTCAGAAAAGAAAATGCCATTTACAATTGCATCAAAAAGCCCCCCCCCAAAAAAAAACAACAAAATCAAAAACCCCACCTAGGAATAAATTTGACCAAGGATGTAAAAGACCTGTACTTGGAAAATCATAAGACCCTGGAGAAAGAAACGAGAAGATACAAATAAGTGGAAGCTCATATGTGTTCACGGGTGGGAAGAATTAACATCGTTAAAGAGAATGGCCTGACAGTTGTGGGGGGTGGGGGCAGCAGGGAGAAACCTGACCGACAGCATCAGTCGAGGGTTCCAGGTGGACATCGACAGGGATAAGTAACACCCAACACCCACTGGTGTACAATGTGGTCTCCTGGGTCGAGATCCTGAAACAGAAGGACATCGGGAAACACTGAGACCCGAGTGAA